CTGTACATGGAGGAAAAATCCCCAGCATTGATCACAATCCTAAGTGCTATAGGTTTTCACTCTCAGTGGCTTATGGGACTTGACAATTATACACAGTATGCCTCTAAAAGTAGGATTCATCTTGTTTCTTCCATATCTTTCTCCTTTCCAACCAAATTCAAACCTCAAAATAATAAGTGGTGATGAGACTAATATCATGAGTCAGATGGGCTCAATTAACTTATTAGATTCTTAAGAATGTAATAATTATTAGTCATATACTTGTGAACATTTATTAAGGGAAAGGAAGTATATGATGTTCTATGAAAATGTCTTTGTTTTCATGACCTAAATAAACTACAGCCTGATGAGTAAGTCCAATGATAATAACAACATGTGAAGTGAGACCTGATTAACCAAATCCTCCTGTCCTGGCAATGCTATTCATGTACTGGATAAAATCAGGATTCTCAACCTATTTCTTTACAATTTATTTCATTGGAGGGAGAAATGAGTATTGGGATCTTCAAGTGAGAGTTGGAATGTTCTAGGTAACGCCATGGTCCCCTCTTGTGAGAAATCAGTGCGGTGGGTCCAACCTTGTAGGTTTGTAACTACAGAATTGCAGGAAGATTGCTTTTATTGTCAATTGAAAAGATAATAAATATGTACATTTAGAAGGGTACAACGTGGTGTTTTGATGTTTGTACACATTGTGGAGTGATCAGATCAGACTATTTAGTATATTTATTATTTAGTATATTTATCATTTACTTGTAATGAGAACATAAAAATCTGTTTTGAACTACATATTATTATTAACTTAGTTATTCTAAAAACCAATCAGTAAACACATTCAAAAATTTCTGTGGGCCCCAGTCTCCTTTTCTGTTAACTGAAAATTAGAAATGTTGAATTTCAAAGACAACTGTTGGTCTAATGTTCAATGAAATTAGGTTTTATTTACTTTTGAATTGTTTCACAAATATTTTTATTGTGTATTCTAAGCTCAGAACTAGGGGTATGGTTGTAAAAAAAACTATTGTCTGTGCTCTTATGAATCTTACATGATAGGAGGGACCATAACAGACATTCAAGGACTAGTTAGATAAATAAGTTATTGTAATTGTGATACGTGCCATGAAGGGGAAATAGAGGCAGGCTGCTGTGACCTAGTTTAGTATAGGATCAGGGGAAGTTTTCCTGAGGATTTAAGACATTTAAAAATTATATTAAGTGAAGTAAGCCAGGCCCAAAGAAACATAGGTCCCATGGTTTCCCTTATTTGCAATATCTAGTATATGTCTGAGTCAAGCAGAAAAGGTCAGATAAGGTGATGTTAGGGAAATGAACGCTAAGATATGTATTCAAATGGTTTTTTTTCTTTCATGCGATTGTTTCTAACATATTTATAAGATGATGTCTTTGTTGCTTTGTATGTCCCTCCCCAACAGTATAACCCCTGCTTTCACTGTATTTGATGTCGGTATAATTTGTGGAGGGGGAAGGGGAAAAACAAATCGTTTAAATAGGGATACAGGTGGACCCATTGCAACAATGAGATGTACAAGTTGTTATGTCGAAAACGAACTTTACAAGTTTGGTGCAGGGCGGGTGGGGGGGAGTGAGGATTGGGTGGGAGGGCGGGGGGGAGGATGGGATGGGATGGGGAAACAAAGGAGGAGGCTACAATGCTTGATAAGAAATGTACTCATTATCTTGCCCATGTAATTGTAACCCCTCTGTACAGTATTTTCACACACACAAGAAAAGACATTTAAGACATGGATGATTAATTGAAATCAGGTGGGTGAGCAGGGCTGAAAGGATTTTTAACAAAGACTATGTGGCAGGATAAAATCTGGCACAACTGAAAAGTAGAAATATGCACCGTATGGCTGAGAGAAAGAGAGGGGAGCCACAACGTGGAACAAACTCAAGAGGGACAGTTGCCTTCTTTTGAAGCGTCATAAACAACTGAAAGTCATGGAGGGGGGTCAGAGATCAATCTGGGCATGGACAGATAGATGTATAATGATTGGAAAGTACAGTCAGGAGCTCATAGTGGATGATGAATTTAGGTGGTGAATGGAAGTGTGTCCACTATAAAGTTTCTTCAATGTTTCTGGAAGTTTGAGTGTGTATTTAGAGGAAGCATCAATAGGATTTCCTTATTAATTTTGCCTCAGGGCAAATAAAGTCATGAGAGTACGGTACGTGTAGTCATATCTGGGAGGCTGCATACAGTCAGAAGAAAAGAAACACTAAGCACTGAAGAATTCCATTTTTAATAGTTGTGCAAAAAAAATGAGCAAAGAGAGAAGAGGAGCAACAAGTGACGAGAAACAAAAAGATCAGGGGTACGAGATGTTACAGAAGGATTCTTAGCTTGTTTTCAATCTCTTGCAATAAATATACCTTTGTGTACTCATTTTTCACATATGCACCTATCTCTGGAAGAGAAATACTCAGAAGTACAATGGCTAAGTAAAATATATTCTGAATAGTTTGAATTTATAAAAGCTTGCCTAAACACAGATTGATAAGTTAACCATGTTCCATGGGGCATTCTGATGTATGACTGGTTAAATTTGAAATATTCCTATAATATCATGGGGAAAAAGTGAGGCTGTCAATGCATTCTTCTATGGATCAGGAAGGAGAAGGATTCTTCTCAATCTTGAACTATTTAAATTTTGTGCTATTCACAAGTATCACCTACATTTCCTTTTATTTTTATTCATGTCTATTTATTTACCTAGCCTTTTGAGACAAGGTCTCACAACATATCCAAGGCTTGTCTGGACCTCCCTATGTAGCCCAGCTGACCTCAAGCTCATGATGCTTCTACCTCTGCCTCTGAAATGCTGGGTTGTAGGTGCATACCACCAGCCTGGGCTTACATTTTAAATTATTATTCTGTACCTCCACTTAGTAAAAGAGAGTGATTTAAAGATCAATTTAGCTTTTATTCCCAAGAACAACTCCAAAAGAGTACAGTTTGCATGTCTAGGTTTTTACCTTACAGAAATACTCAGTTTGCTGTTGGATTTTATGAAACTATGATGCACAGAATTGCATTAAATGTGACAAAGTTCTAAACATGGACAGTTCATGCTCTTGAGCTCAAGTTGTACATTTGGGAATTTGTTTTGCCACATTTTTATTAGTGAACAAATCCATGTTATCATACCTACTTCAGTATCTTCATACTTCACCATCACCACTTTCTCACTTTATCTAAAAATGACACAGAATGAGTCACAGTAACTCTGAGGAAAATTTGTTTTTCCGAAGTGAGAAGTAGCGATGATCATATATTTTTCATTTTCTGCTTTTAAGAGGGGTATTGTAAGGATATGAGTGTGAGTTTTTCAAAAGGACTATACTTACTAAGCTACACTAGATTAACAACTTCAAGTTTCTAAAATTAGAGGGTTTATTTTTACTAATGTTGACAATTGATTATTCCTTTACTAAGAATAATATTAACATATTCAAAAATCACTTTTCAAAATTCAAGAAGAAATCTAAAAATATGGAACAACTATCTATAATAATCCTGAATATACACAGGATGACCCATTGCAACAATGACACCCACAAGACAGTATATTAGAAATGAACTTTACAACTTCAGGGTGGGGAGGAGTGAGGGAGGTGAGGGAGGGAAGGGATAGTGGGAGAACAACAAAGGAGGGAATAACAATGCTCGACAAGAAATGGACCATTACCTTACTCATGTAACTGTAACCTCTCTGTACAGCATCTTTACAATAAAATAAAATTAAAAAAAAATCCTGAATATGATTATAGTTCTCCTATTACAGAAACTCAGGTTCCATACTTTTAAGGGTTTTCTAGGTACTCAATTGAGGAAATGAGCTGAAGGGTAGAATATTTCTTGGGAACATTCCTGGGCCATATATGTTAATGCTCAAACAATCAGATTCTTGTCTATCTTCTTTAACATATGCCTTACTATCTACCTTAATAAGCTTATAGGATCAAGTCAAGGATGGCAGGGGAAGTAAAAATAATTTAGGAGTTAGTCATAGTCTCTATTGGACTTGGGGCAAATCATCTAAGCTAAGGGCTTAAGGTGCCTTCTAGCTTTAACTGCCTTTGCATCTAAGTTTGAAGGCTCAACCATCTGAAATTCTAGGTAACAAAGATATAGTACAATAAAATACTGGCTCCAATCCATCCCTTCCTATATCCTCACTTTTGTCATGACTTCAGTGTGGGCAGAACATATCTCCTTGCTGCTTGATTTTGGGCTTACCATATGGGTTTTTGACCAATGGCCCAAATACATTTATGCATTTCATCAACTCTGTCATCATTATGATGTGGCTGTAACTGAGACACAAGCATCTGACTTAGACTATATAGAGGAAACACAGCTGCCCTAGCAACCTTTACAGACAAAGCAAAAAGATTATCATTTTAAGACACTGACGTTTGTGGTTGTTTGTTATTCAGCATTACTATGGAAATAGCTAACCACCACAAAAGCAGATAACAAGAACTCATGGAAAGAGATAATGAAAGGGAATGAGAAAATAGTGTTCCCAACTCTCTCCTATAACAGGGTAGAAGAGGGCCCAAAGTGAAAGTGTAGGAACATTACCTTCCTTTTCACTTATTACATTTGACTCATCAATGAACAAAATGCATTGATTGACCATTAGTTCTCAATCTCTTCTAGTTAATGGCTTAGAACTTTTTTTCAAGCAAATAATGTAAGTCATCATTAAGACCAATTAAATCCTGGTTTACATCTATTTTTCTGGGGAAATCATTTAGCTTTCTTCAGTCTACAATGAGTTAGATGATACATTCTATAGTCACATCGCCTGGCTAGTATACAAAGTTGTCAGCATAGCAGGATCATCTCTTATCCAGCAATCATCCCTATCATGCCTTCTTCAGATCACAGGGATAATTAGAGTGAATGAAGAATGGCATCGAGCTATTTGGCTGTCCCCAATTCTTATCAAAGTATTTATGGAAAAATAACTCACAATTAGAGAAAGATTGGGGATTCCCAATCTCATTCACAATTTCAAATAACCTTGTGCTATTTCTATTATAGTTATAAAGGCTATGAACCATTGAACAATTAGCTTGTTGAGAGGACAGGGTGGGACATTTTTTATTGCCCAATCAGAAAGTCCCATAGGCATATAGAAGCATATGAGTTTTAGGCACTCAGCAAGATACTAAATGTTCATAACATTCACATCTCTCCCCTCATGTCCTAACACCCTAGGTAGGAAATGACAGGGCAGCAGAAACTACTGTCCCATCTTGCTATCAAAAGGAAACTGTAACCACAGGCTTCATAGGCTTCATTCTTAGAGAATTGTTTCCTTCAGGGCCTGCACTTCCCCATGCTGGAACGGAGCATGAGTACCCCCTCTACGGGCATCCCAGGGTTGGCAGCCATCTTCTGCCAAAGACGTTGCTCTTCCCCTTGAGAGTCCATCCAGTCCACATTCTTCCCATTGCTCACACCTGAAGAACAGAAAGAGAAGCATTATATTTCACAACTAAGATGTTCTGATCTTCTGGAAGGTGTCTATTGATCACTAAAGGGTGGGGGGGGGCGGGTGTGCAGATTTTAACCAGAAAGCCTTTCACTGGCCTGTTCTCACTTCCCATATCTTGTAAATGGTGTTAGAATGAGTCATTCTTTTATAGTCTGCACAACTTTCTTCTGCCTAGACAATGTAACACAAATCAGACTAGCTCTGCTGTGTCATTTCCTCTCTACTTTGGTGCTTCAGCTGAGAGCTGGTTCATGTAGACTGGCATTGGACTATTTGGTAGGCTGGCCTCAGCTCTTTCTCATAGTCAATTCTCTGACCTGCGAAGTTTTGGTTTTAGTGACACAGATATGCTTAGCTCTTGTTAATTTCTATAAATAAAGCATTATAGGGTGGGCATCTGAGAGATAATAAGATTTGAGTGAATCACATGTGCTCTCCCAGTGCTAATTTGTTCATCTATATTACCCTTCCTCTGTCCATTTCTTCTTCTTTTTTTTTGTCGGTCGTGGGGCTTGAACTCTGGGCTTGGGCGCTGTCCCTGCGCTCTTCAGCTCAAGGCGAGCGCTCTACCGCTTGAGCCACTGTGCCACTTCCGGTTTTCTAGTGGTTTATTGGAGAGAAGAGTCTCACGGACTTTCCTGCCCGGGCTGGCTTTGAACTGAGATCCTCAGATCTCAGCCTCCTGAATAGCTAGGATTACAGGCGTGAGCCACTGGTGCCCGGCTCCCTCTGTCCATTTCATCTTGCATTAGTTGTGCATTGTGGCAGCAGTGGTATATTTGTACAACTTGACTGAACAATGGATGAAGACTTTTTGTTTTTAGAGAAAATATTGATTTCCTTCCCATTCAACTAGTGTGAATGAAAAATGTGCATATTGGACATTATTAAGACAAGGATAAAGTTGGCCTCAGAAGATCTTCCTTTCCCTCTCAGAAGCCTGTTGCTGTCTTGGTGGTCCTTCTCTGAGAAAAACTTGAAGGACCAAGAAAGTGCTTACAATTCACTGAAAGTATAAGTTTTTCTATGAAAGAACTGAATGTAATGTACTTCCCAAACGTCTAGCTTCAAAATACAAAGTCATAGTTGGTAGTATTAGTATGTATGTATGTATATATATATATATATATGTATATATATATATATACATATATATATATATATACACATATATATATAGTTTTTGGGTCTGGTCATGGGGCTTGAACTCTGGGCCTGGGCGCTGTCCCTCAGCTCTTCAGCTCAAGGCTAGCGCTCTACCACTTGAGCCACAGCACCACTCCCAGCTTTTTTCTGTTTGCTTATGTGGTGCTGAGGAATCGAACCCATGGCCTCATGCATGCAAGGCAAGCACTCTACCACTGAGCCACCTTCCCAACCCCTTAGTATGTATATTTAACAATGAGCAGATTTTTTTTTTTTTTGCTGTTCCTGGGGCTGTCTCAGGTGCTGCCCCTGAGACTTTTTGCACTCAAGGTTGGCACTCTAACACTTGAGTCACAGCACCACTTCTGGGTTTTTCAGAGTAGTTTATTAGAGATAAGAGTCTCACAGACTTTTCTGCCTGGGCTGGCTTTGAACTGCGATCCATAGATCTCAGCCTCCTGAGTAGCTAGGATTATAGAAGTGAGCCACCGGTGCCCAGCTAATGAACAGATTTTTAGCTAGAGGATCATTTCAGGAGTCAGTTATGACTGACTACATAATTATGTAACTACATAAATATCTAGTACACATTACATGAAGGAAGCATGCCTGATTACAGACCTGAGGTCTCCAAGTTTCTTACCACTTCCAGAATTCAGACGAACTCCTCCAAGAAAGATGTTGCTAGAAAAGGCTTCCTTGTCCCAGACAGTAAGTTCTAGGCAAACATTCTTTATATCCTGAGGATACAGGCCACTGAACATGAATGTATAGTTCCATTGAGGGTTAACACTCTTTTTTATGACCATAGTTTTATGCTTGGTGGCTTTGTTATCATCAGGGAGCAGGTAACTGTAGGAGAAAATGCAATCAAATCATCATTGAGACAGTAGGCAAAAATGCCGTCTTGGAATAGTCATGTGAATTTCCCATACTTTCTGATGTGTGTGTCTGTGTACATGAATGTGACCAAGTGTGATATGGGTATTTGGTTCACCTATCATTATTACTATTTAGCAGTTTTCATGATGACATATTCATACATACATATAGTGTGCTTTGAGCATATTTATTCATCTCCCAGGTTCTTTTCTAAAACTTTTTTTGGAGGCTGTCCTGTGGCTTGAACTCAGGACCTGGGCACTGTCCCAGGACAGAGTGCTCAAGGATAGCACTCAACAACTTTGAGCCACAGTGCCATTTCCAGCTTTTGGTAGCTAAGGGAGATAAGTCTCTCACAGGCTTTCCTGCCCAGACTGGCTTTGAACCACGATCCTCATATCTCAACCTCCTGAGTAGCTAGGATTATAGGTATGAGACACCAATGCTGGCAAATCTCCCAGATTCTTATATGCTTAAATTTGGATTTATTTTGTGGAATGGCTTCTTTTAGGTGGCACAATAGTAACATGCATTTTATCTCCTTTCTAATTTTATTTCAGTCCATCTTCCCCAGTCTTGTAAAGAAAATGCCTTCTGTGGTAGTAGGTAGTAGGTATTATTGGATGTTCTAGTTTGTATCTTTATGGACCAATTCTGAACTGACTGGCAGCCAGAGTGAATAGTTCCCAGCAGGCTTTCCACTGTGTCTTAACTCCTTCAATAAAAGACTATTTCTGGTTATGAGTAAGTTAATGTGGGGAGAACCCTGGAATTACGGGGGATTTAATGGATTGAAGGGCAACTCTTCAAGCAGAGTTTTGGAAATTGGTGGATGAATCCTTCACTCTCTCTGTCACTTGAAGGGACAATCCTAAGAAATACTGCACAATATCTCATTGCTTCCCCAGTAGAATTGAGTGCCAGCCTTCTATCACAGTAACATATTGATAAACATATATGTTTTTGCCAGTGCTGGGTCCTGAACTCAGGCCCTGGTTGCTGTCCCTGAGGGTTTTTTTTCTTCTCTCTCTCTTTTTTTTATTGTGAAAATACTGTACAGAGGGGTTACAATTACATGGGCAAGATAATGAGTACATTTCTTATCAAGCATTGTAGCCTCTTCCTTTGTTTCCCCTTCCCATCCTATCCTCCCCCCCACCCAACCCTCCTCCCCCGCCTACCAAAGTTGTAAAGTTCGTTTTCGACATAACGACTTGTACGTCTCATTGTTGCAATGGGTCCTGAGGTTTTTTTGCTCAAGGTTAGCACTCTATGGCTTGAGCTATAGGTCTACTTCCAGCTTTTTTGGTGGTTAATTGGAGATAAGGGTCTTGTGGACTTTCCTACCCAGGCTGGCTTCAAATCATGATTTTCAGATCTCATCCTCCTGAGTAGCTAGGATTACAGGCATGAGCCACCAATACCTAGGATAGCCATACCTTACACCAGCTTCTCTCCCTCTTCTCAAACAAAACAATGGATCCATGGACCTGTACTGTTGTCAAAACACTGTATTGGGCTCAAAGTATATGGTGAATGCTACCTTGTCCCTGACCAGGGAACATGTTTTAGAGAAGTAGACAGATTTGCTTATGGAATCATTATATTAGACAGCAATACCAATGCCACAAGCAAAGGATCTTACTGTAAAGAAGCTAATTATATCGAGTGAGATTTCATTTCAGGTTTCAAGTAGAGAATGCATGCTATTTCCCAATATTCCTTCTATCTGTTCTTTTTTTTTTAAAACCTGCTGACATTTTTTTTTGGGGGGGTCCGGTCGTGGGGCCTGAACTCTGGGCCTGGGTGCTGTCCCTGAGCTCTTCAGCTCAAGGCTAGCGCTCTACCACTTGAGCCACAGCGCCACTTCCCCTTTTTTTCTTTTTGCTTATGTGGTGCTGAGGAATTGAACCCAGGGCCTCATGCATGCAAGGCAAGTGCTCTACACTGAGCCACCTTCCCAGCCCCTGTTCCTTTTTTTTTTTTTTTTTAAATAAGAATCCTCATTTTAAAATTAGGCACAACATAATAGAAATGCAAATCAAAACAATAATGAGATTTTACCTCACCCCAGTTAGATGGCCATTATCAAAAAAACTAATGATAACAGATGCTGGCAAGGATGTGGCCAAAAGGGAATGCTACTGCACTGTTGGTGGGAATGTAGACTTGCTCAATCACTTTGGGAAGCAGTATGTAGGTTCTTCAAAAGACTATACATAGAGCTTTCCTATGACCCAGCAATCCCACTCCTGGGCATTTATCCAAATGAGCACAAAGGGCATTTATCCAAATGACCACAAACAAGATCATACTAAAGCCAACAGCACAACCACACGACTATGTCCATTGCAGCATTATTTACCATACATAGCTAAGATATGGAATCAACCCAGAAGCCCCTCAGTGGATGAATGAATCAAGAAAATGTAGTAAATACACAAATGGAATTCTATATATACTTCATCGGAAAGAATGATGTTGCCCATTTCATAAGGAAATAGAAAGAGTTGGAAAAATTATATTAAGTGAAGCAAAGTAAGTGAGAGCCAAAGAAACATAGGATGCATGATTTCCCTCATTTGTAATAACTAGAATATGTCTGTAAATCTACAAGTTGATCCAATGGATAGTAAAAGACAAATAATCACACTTGGACATGATTAGGAAACAGCACTCTAAGCTTTCATACAATGAGAACAAAGGAGGTTATACATAGTAAGAACAAAGAAGATTATTCTTAGGAGATGATCACAATAGCTCAATAGCCATGTACATATGACCATATAAAATAATGCTTATAGAAATGAACTCCAAGAAATGGAAACAAGAGGGTTTTTTATGGCATTGTTAGCTGTTATTTCTTTTTTCTTTCTTTTCTACCTTTGGTATATTCCCTTTTGTCACTGTTTTTGATTTCTGTACCCTTTGTCTTATATATAAGTTTATCTGATTTGTGGAGAGGAAGGGGAATCAGAAATGATGGGAAAAAAGGGTGAGCCAATTCAACAGTAATACTCACTAAATACTATGTTAGAAATGAACTTTACAACTTGGGGGGCAGGGGGGTCAGGAGGGGAAAAATTGGGAAAAGATGAAGGAGAGGGCAACACTGTTCAAAAAATTACTCATTAACTGAATTGTATATCTTTATCCCCTCTGTACACCAGCTTTACAATAAAATTAAAATAAAAAGTATAACTAGACATAAGATTTCTTAGAATGTAGACTGTATTCCTGCACCCAGCATCCTTTGTGTCCAGTGTAGCCATGTGACTAAATTCTGGCAAATGGGATGTAAGAAGTAGCTCTATGAAACTTATGGGAACTAACCTACTAGATGGAATAGGGATGGGAAAGCTAAAATCTAAGAGTTACTATGACCCATGAAGCAAATATCATGAGACAGAGAGAGAGAGAGAGAGAGAGAGAGAGAGAGAGAGAGAGAGAGAGTAACCAACAAACAATCTATGCCTCTGATAATCATGATACTTCTATACCCTTCTTGGATACATTACCTTCAGTCTTTATTTACATGTAAGAGGGGAAATAAAAGGTACAACTCATTTTCCTCTCATCCTTGCTTTCTCTCCCTCTCCTTACTTCCTTACAACCCTCCCTTATATGTGCTCTCTCTCTCTCTCTCTCTCTCTCTCTCTCTCTCTCTCTCTCTCTCTTTCTCTCTCTTGCCAATGCTGGGCCTTGGACTCTGGGCCTTGGCACTGTCCCTAAGCAACTTTTGCTCAAGGCTAACACTTTACCACGTGATCTACCACACCACTTCCCCTGCCTCAGTTTCCTAAGAAGGCTTAAGGAGAGGCAAAAACTGTTGTCTGACTTAAAGAATTCTCCTTGTGGGCTTCACATCCTCCATGAAGTCAGCTATAATGGCTCATTTACTTTGGAAAAGTGCAGTACTTTGGTGGTTCATACATGTGCAATTGTGTGTTTGAATGAATGGATACTATCCTTCTAGTCCCAGTTCGTATAAGTTCAGGAGAATAATATCCAGTAGCACAAGAGAGATTTGCTGGTGAGTAATTTAGAGTGAATAACAATATCCATTAAAGAGTACTATTCCCTCAAGAAACTGCTCTCTGCTCCACAAAGTGGAAACAAATGTGCAATTGGCAGTCTAAAGCTCTCTCCAAAGCACTTCCTAGTGGATACCTCCAGGAATAATGCTCTGATGACCACATTTTTTACAATTTTCCCCAAGAGAGCAAAACAGCAAGTATGAGTATTTCAGTAGTTGTTGAATATTACCAGCACCAAACAATAACAAAGTATAATCAAAGTACACTAAACATACAAATTCCTACTTTCTCTTTTGAGAAATGAATCTTAGAAAATTTGTTGGTCTTAAGGGCGAGAATGATAGGAATTCCTCAGATCTGCTGGAAACCATGTAAGCTAAGAATTAGCAATTCCCTCTACACTCATATTGCTTTACATGTATGAGATAAATTGTTTCAGATGTAAACATAGCTCTTTCCCAGTATATTTCCTATAAGAAGAACATGGAGGCTCACAGTGATCACTGTCTCACGATCACAGACTCTTTCATCTACCAATAAGTATCATCTGAAATGAGGATGAAACAAAATTACCCCTTCACAAAGCTGTCAGAAGTGCCTCCTGATTTCACTGCTGTTAAGTTCTTTGCTTCTTTGACGAACACTTCAAGTATTCCTCCAGAGATTACAGGTGACTCTTTCTTCTTCCCCTTTTTAAAGGATTTCTTTCCTGTATCAGCTGAGGAGGGGGGTGGAAGGGTGGGGGAGGAGAGAAAGAGAGAGAAAAAGAGAAATTCTACTTCAAAATTTAAAAAGACCATCTGCAAAGATTTATTTGTTGACTGAATCAGGCCTTTACCTAATTGAATATTTGTGTTAGAGTAAGTGTTTTTGTCCCATTGGATTCTTTCTGGATAGCTTTTCTTATTTATATTTGTTGAAAAACATTGAATAAATTCAAAACTTCAACCACTCCTGTACAGAGCACAGCTTTTTAACAAGGTGTTATAAAGGAAAGGAATGGAGAAGATCCTGAGAGCTGCCTGGGCCACTGTGAGTTCAGGCCCCATGACCAACCAAAAAAATACATTTTTAGGTGAGAAGAAACTCCTTCCTACCTGTCATTGTTATTTATTTAGTACCGTTTGAAGCATCTTACATGTACGTGCCCGTTTAATCCTAACAATGTCCCATCTTATATGTACGTGCCTGTTTAGTCTTAACTATGTCCCTTTGTGAGAAAGTGAGAAATGAGAAAACGGGGTCAGGAAACAGAATTACTTGTCAGGGTGATCATGACACTGAAGAGTGTAATTATGAAGGGGAGGAGACTGCCGGAGGAGTTGATGGAAGAAGAAGGGCAGGAGAGTTTGCTTTCATCTGAAGTTTTCTTTTTCTTCCATGTTCTACGGTAAATCTTCCTCAAGACTAACTGGGTAACTATGAATTACAGAAATCCAGACAAGCAGCCTCTCAACTCTAAGGAGCGTTCTATATTTCTGAGATGGACAGGAAATGACTCTTACTACTTATGCTGGTCACTCAGTGTGAGCTTTGTCTTTTCCTTGTAAGATTTCCACACCCTTTGCCATAGGTAGTATGCTTATCACAACTCTCTTTAAAAGACAATGACAATCTTTTTCATTTCATTCATGCAGTGTGAAATTAGCATAGTCCAACAAATCTCTGGTTCCCAGTCACACTTGTAAAAATAGGATGATCAAATGTAGTGATTTTTCTCTACCTTGAAGTTGTCTTAGTGGAAACATCACGTTCTCCTCTGGAGGAATGTACCGTAAAACAACTGTCAGTTCTCCTTTGTACTGAAGGCCAACATCAGGAGCAAACTCTCCCTGGCCAAGGATAGATAGACGTAAAAGAGAGTAAGAACATTTGTCTTAGTATTTTGCTACCCATGCTTCAATATAAAATATTTATTTGATGGCTTAAATGTGATAATTCCTACTTAACTATGTTAGTTCTTACTGAAAGAAGACATGACTTAAGCATGAGAAAAGAAAGGCTGTAAAACCCTGTCAAGACATTAACATATGACTTTTTTGTGTGCCACTCCTGGGGCTTGAATGCTGTCCCTGAGATATTGTGCTCAAGACTAGGTTCTAACATTTGAGTCATACCCCCACTACTGGCTTTTTTGGTACTTAATTGGAAATAAGAGTCTCATGGACTTTGTGCTTGGGCTGGCTTCGAATTGTAATCCTTGGATCTTAGCCTCCTGAGTAGCTAGGATTACAGGCACAAGCCACTGGCACCAGGCTTGTGTAAGACTTTTAAAATAAAAGGCATTTAAAAGGAGATACATAACATGTATTAATGGATATTGAGTTTTTGTGACATTGAATACTGACCTATCACTGAACATTATACATATAGTATGGAGTATGGGGCAGGAATAAAGATGCACTGAAAATAGTCTCAGAAGTTACATCTCCCTCTCTATAATGTAATTTCTTAAGCAATCAAGAAGGGAAAAGTACTAGGCTGCTAGTCACTGGTTATTGAAAGCAATTTTGGTATTTACATAATCAAAATTCATTGTGGACAAGTGGTTCTCTTAAACATTGCAGGTAGGTATGTAAAATGGTGGAGACAATCTGGAAAGCAGTTTAGTGTGTATGATTAAATATGCAACTACTATACAAACCAGAATTTTCACCCCTCGGCATTCATTCAAAGTATTTTCACCACAAAAAGGTATGTGAAGTGATATATATGCTAATTATCTCAATTTAGCTATTTTACAGTGTATACATCTTTCAAAACAACATCTACTACATGGAAAATACATATAAGCTTTTTTATTTCGTCGGATGTGGGGCTTGAACTCTGGGTCTGGGCATTGTCCCTCAGCTCTTCATCTCAAGGTGAGAGCTCTACCACTTGAACCACAGTGCCACTTCCAGTTTTCTGGTGGCTAACTGGAGTTAAGTCTCATGGGCTTTCCTGTCTGGGCTGGCTTTGAATTGAGATCCTCAGATGTCAGCCTCCTGAGTAGCTAGGATTACAGGCATGAGCCACCAATGCCCAGCTATACATAAGCTTTATTTGCCAACTAAAAATTAATTAGTATTAAGCAATTAAAATATTAAAAAATGAGCCGAGGATCAGTAATACGAACCTATAATCCTACCTGCTTAGGAACTGAGATCTGAGAATAGAGGTTCACAATTAGTCCTTGATGAAAACTCTTTGAAACTCTTATCTCCAATTAACCAGCAAAAGCTGGAAGTGGAGACATGGCTCAAGTGGTAGAGTGCTACCTGCTATAGAAGAGACTGGAGAGCTTGAAGCCTGGAGGAGTTCAAGCCCCAGTAGTGGCAAAAAAATGTATTAGAGTGTGTTTGCATGTACATGATATCTCTGATTTTATTGACTTATGATTGGTCCAGTTTGCATCTATTCCAAACACACACACACAGACACACAGACACATACACACACACATCAGTGTTACACAAGGTGACAGTTGATCTAACACAACTACAAAGAAGCTACTGTGAAAAGACAGAGATTATCCCCAACTGGAATAAGTATGTGGCCCTTGCCTGGTCCTTAAAAAATGGGCGAAAGGATGACAGATGAAGTTGGTATGACAGAAAGATTAGTTTGGGTTGAGAAAGCAATAAGAGCAAAAGAAGAGAGAGACTACCTAGAATGTGTTTAGGGACTGGTAGGAAGCCAGATGTAATTAGGAGTGTGTGGCCCTGGAGGCAGTAGCTACTAACATGGAAATAAAATATCTCTTCTGGGTTTCCCAGGAGACTCTAAAACATGAATTTATGTTAAAACATTTCACAAGAGACAATGGAAAAGTGAGATTGAATAGAATTGATATTGTCTAATAGGGACAACTTTTGCTTAGCCCCATGGAGAGCCCTGATTATATGTCACAACTGTCCTAAGCAGAAGCAGAGAGGTGGAAATGGTATGCTTCTTCACCTATTAGTCATTGATCAAGGGCTCTGTGCTCACCCCTCTCCCCGAAGACTTATATTCCTAGATTTATATTTCTGGATTTCCACAGGCCATGGAAGTGTAAAGTCCAGAAAAGGGCTCCCCTTTCCTACAAAGACTGGGAGTTACTGGCTGGTGGGCGCAGAGCCATATTTTTCTGAGCAGAACACAACATCCTGGGGTGCAATCGAAGGCTGGACCCCCACCACAAAAGTATTGTGAGTGCCAGAGTGGGCACGAGTTTCCATCAAAACATCTTTCAAAGCAGCAGGAAACTGTTAAGATAATCTGATGAGGCTGGAGTTGAAGCTCAAATAGTAGAGTGCCTGTTCAGCAGGTGCGAGGCCTTGAGTTCAAATCCCAGTACTGCAAAAAAAAAGGGACCTAAGCAGAGGGGTGAAATAATCAGTATTTTCTGTTGTCTGCAAAGAGAGATCTAGTTGTCATTGGCGCAAAAGCCAGTCACTTCCCAATGCATTTACAAGTGTAAGATAGGGTAATAAATCATAGACAATGATGCCCAAGCTGCCAAGTAAAGAGAGGAATTTAGGTAGGTAATAATTCCACAGGAACTTACATTTATTCTCTGCTTGAAGGCAGAATAAGACACTGTTTCCTTGGAAAACCACTTAAGCTTGCTGTTAGATTTTCAGAGGTCCTTGGTTGTTTCTTTTAAAATAATAGCACCCCCTGGGAAGGCTTGAAAGGCAATTCATACTAACAAACACTTCTCATCTACCTCCCATGCCTTTCAGAAGGATGATGAGTTATAGCTAATAAACAGTCCAGTGCCAGGCAGTGAAATACAAGTTATACTGTGAAAGTACTTTACAGTACTCAAATTTGACATCTTGAATTCTTTCTCTGTCTGCACCTGCCTCCTTACTGGCTTCTGCTGTGATATCTAACACAAACAAAACTAGATACTAAAGGACTTTTGAGTAAGTCAATAGCAGTATGGCTTATACCTCCTGCAAACAGATGCCAGCATTTCTGAATTTTAAGGACTATTAATCCAAATCCCTTATTACTAGAGAAACCAGTCCCTGTAGTTCACACTTCATCTCTTCAGCTGGATAATGTACCAGCAACATCAAATTTCCTGGACTGCTTATACTATATCAGCAGCTGATGGAGTGCCTATTGCACTGAAATGACTGAGACAGGAGACTGAAAATGAAGCAACACTCCACATAGTTGGCTGACAACCAACCATCAAGAGCTCAGCTGCTATGATTTGGATCTGGAATACTTCCCCAAAACTCATGTATTAAAGCCTTGCTCCCCAACCGGTGGTGCTACTGAAAAACAGTAGAAACTTTTAAGAGATGAAGCCTAGTGGGAGGAAGTTAGGTCTTTAGGTGTGCACCGCTGGACATGATATTGAGATGCTGGCCCTTTGTGTCTCTTCGTTTTGCTTCCTGAACACTGTGTGGTTGAAAGGTTTCTTTTACTTTGTGATCCTGACATGATATATTGCCTCTTCATAGATCCAAAAGCAATAGGGTCAATGGGCCACAGACTAAATCCTTTGAAACCGTGAGCCCAAACAAACCTTTCTCTTTTAAGTTCATTATCTCAGATACTTTTGTCATTGTGACAGAAAGCAGATTATGGCAGCAGCTCAGCAAAGCATGCCCTAGCATCAGCCCTCTCTAGTTCTGAAGGGCATGATATCTAAGCAAGTCTGAGTCTTCTTTTACTCTATATTTGTTACAGCAAGCTTCACAGAGGATGGTGACAAAGATGAGAGACATTAACGTCTGTTTCACAGTCTGTGTTCACCAGACTCTTGGAGAGGATTCCTAAGGAAATTATTTATTAGGAAAGCACTTTCAGGGAGACAACTGAAAAGGGTGAGAGAAGAAAGATAGGGAAGAGCATGACCTTGGATAAGTTTCCATAGGAGGCAGCTTCAGTCTGATCTGGCAAGGGTGCTCAGAGGATTTTTTTAAATTTTTTAAAAACTTTTTTCTCTCTTTCTCAATAAAAGAGGCGAGCTTGCGTAATCCTCTGTTATTGACTAAGGATTGTCTTGTGACTCTTGGGGTACAAAGACTTCCAGGGTTTTATGGCTGTATGTCCACGTGGGCAAGTAGCTTAAGGTAGGCTTCTAAAGAGAATCTTAGTTGGAAGCTGTTGAGGAAAACCCAGAAGGGTTAGGAATCTAAAATGTTCAGGCAGAGAGAACTGTGGTGTTCCATACAGTAAGCACAAGACAACTTTTGTCGTTAGCAGATTCATAGAGGCCCAGAGCTACTTCCTCCTTGTGAGAAGAAAGAGAAGCCACTCTGTGGCAATGTGGAGAGAATTATCACGGGAAAAAACCCTACTGGTCCCTAAGCACAAAGGATGCTTTGGAAAGACTTTAGATAGCATCCCAGAGAAGTCTTTCAATCATTTACAGAAAATTGACAGGAAGTATGATTTTCCTTCCAAACTGACTGTTCAAAGAGTCTGTTTCTTTAACATTAACTTCATGACAAATTAATTTTATATACTACTAAGATGCATGCTAATTGTCTTTCATGTGTGTCATCCATCAGCTGATGTCTGGGGAATTTTCTAGCAATGATGCTCATTTTTAATTTATTTTTTTTCATTTTTAAAATTTTATTGTAAAGGTAATGCACAGAGGGGGTACAGTTACATAAGTAAAGAAATGAGTACAATTCTTGTGGAACATTGTTACCCAGTCCCTGATTTGCCCCTCAGTGTAGATGAATAGATCAAGAAAATATGGTATATATACGCAATGGAATTTTATGCTTTCATCAGAAAGAATGACATTGCCCCATTCGTAAGGAAATGGAAAGACTTAGAAAAAAATCATATTAAGTGAAGTAAGCCGGACTCAAAGAAACATAAGCTCCATGGTTTCCCTTATTTTTAATAATTAGTATATGTCTAAGATAGTCCTAGCAGAGGATCAAAATAGTCCAATAACTATGCACCACATAAAGTGATGCTAATCTAAAGGAACTCCAAGATATGGAAAAAAGAGGTGTTTTATTTCAGAGTACTGTTTACAGTTATTTCTTTTTCTTTCATTTTTTTTCTTTGGTTTATCCCCTGCTGTCACTGTTTTTTTATTTTGGTAGCCTTTGTCTAGTATATAAGTTTATCTCATTTGGTGATGGGGAGGGGAATCACAAAGGACAGAGGGTGAATCAATGCACTAGTTATACAAGGCACTATGTTGGAAATGAACTTTACAACCTGGGGGGAAGGGGATGCGGGGGTGGGGGAGGGAAAGTGGGAAATGATGCTCATTTTTAAAATGCAAAGCATGAAACTGATACAAAACGACTACTCTGCTAATCACCTAACTGTTATCTTTTGTTGTTTTTGTTTGGGAGAGTTGAACTCAGAGCCTCAGTCCTCCTTTAGCTTTCTGGCTCAAGGCAGGTGATCTGCCACTTGAGCCACGCTTTATTTTTTAGGGGGAATGTTTTCTTTCAATTCCAAGAGACTTAATGGTGAATGAAAAAAATATTTAGTATATTTGGTGTCAGTGAGTACAATGTTGTGCTATTGTGGACTCCTCTGCTGTTAAAAAATACACTTTACTGGGCCAAGCACTAGTGGCTCACACCTGTAATCCTAGCTACTCAGGAAGCTGCAAACTAAGGACTGTAGTTTGAAGCCAGCAACAGTACATTTCTCTTTTTTTCAACGTGTCAAAAAGAAACTTTATTTCTTATTAACAGCCTCTTAAGCTTTCTTGCTGAGTGCTTTAGGAGTGGCCGACTTTGGGGCTGGAGTTTTCTGACCCTTCTGAGCTTTAGGAGGCTACACTACTTTCTGGCAGGTGGTTTTCTAGGCTGTGGCCTTTTGGCCCAGAGGTTTCTTGGCCTCATGAGCAGTAGCATCCTTTTTGGCTCAACCTTTACCTTTAGTAGCCACTGCCGCCATTGCCAAAGATGCAGTGGCAGCCTTGGCAACAGGGACGTTTTTGGGAGAAGCTTTCAAGAGTCACTCTCTGACATTTCTTCACTTCATTCTTGATGAGACTATTCCTCATTTTCTTAGCCTTCATGACTTTGCAGCGATCAAAGTATGTCATCTTGACTTTCCTTTTTCTGGCTCCAATCTTTTTGGCACATCTGATGGCTGACCATTTTGTATTGATATCTGCCATCTTCCAGGCTTTGCATTTGAAAGGCATGGCCTGTTCTCCTTACTCCAGTGCATGATCCGTCAACCAATGCCCTGTTCTGATCAATAACGTCTACAATTGTCACCAGCTTTCTGGCATTGAGGCCTGAAGGAGACATAGGCCACCAGGCCAATCTTCATGAAACGCTTGAACACCATGCTGGCAGCACAGGGCAAGAAGTTACATTTCTTTTTGAACAATGTTGCCCCTTCTTGTCATTTTTAACATATAGCTCATATGTACTTTCTAAAGATTTTCTGTGAGTTACTTACATCAAATCTCATGTCAACAACCACAACCCCACCAGTAAATTATATTTTTAGTTTGCTCATCTATAAAATGGGATGGGAATAATGATTGTTAGTTAACTCACAGGTTTGTTATAACCCTGAATGAGAACATTTGGTGCTATTGATGATGCCACAGAGAGCATCACTTGTTTTTTTGCTATTCACTATCCCTTAGTTTTCTCTTTAGTAGTTCAGGACCTGGATTTTTTGAGGAAGTCTAATTTAAAGATAAGATTTTAAACCAGCCAATGCCTTATTTCTCTCTAGCCAGTCATTAGCCAAAGATAGGCAAATCATTAGGAGAACCAGGCTCAAAGCATGACTTTACTGTTGCTGCTACTTCTTTTTTTTGCTACTTCTTCTCTCCCTCCCTCCCTCCCTCCCTCCGTTCTTGCCTGCCTGCCTTCCTTCCTTCCCTCCCTCCCTCCTTCCTTCCTTCCTTCTCCTTCCTATCCTCCTCCTACTTATATTCCTCCTCCTTGTCCCCATCTTTTTCCTCCTTTCCCTTCTTCTTTCCTCTTGTGCTGGTACTGGGCTTGAACTCAGGACCTGGGAGCTGTGCCTCAGTTTTATTTGCTCAAGGCTGGTACTCTATCACTAGAGTAGCAAAGAGAAAGGATGGGCAAATGAAGTCATAATATTCTACGCACATATGTGCAAATAGAACTGGGTAATCTGAGGAGATAGGTGGAATTGGGAGAGATGGGGAAGAATGATGAAAGAGATGATATTCATTGAGCTGCATTGTACTCATAAATTGATATATTGAATCATCATCCCTTTATGAACTACTTAAAGATTTAAAAAATAAAAAAGAAACAAAAACAAACAAAAAAGCATAGCTTTGAATGTTGGATGAGAAACTTTATTCTTTTCTGAACAGTGAGGTGCAAAGATGAGAGGCTTGGAGTCAGTGTAGTTGTTAGTGCTATAGAGAACAATGAGAAAACTGAAAATAAAGCCAACAAATAGAAGAGAGCCAAGAGATTCCAAAGCCTTGATAAGATTTGAGAATCTGGATTAAGCTGCTGGCTAACAGCACTGTGCTTGACAGAATATTGACAAACCTACATAAAAATGTATATTCAACCCTTACATAAGATACATATGATGAGAATATTACAAATGAGCACATCACAGCTTAGAAAATTAAGTTAATCTGATCAATGTCATATAGGCAGTTATAAAGCCAAGATTGAGCCAAGAAAGTTATTAGAGTCTATTATGTTGATTATAATTTTTTTTGGTTCTCTGTACATAAAGAACAGTCTCTTCTGACTGCAAATTTTGACTTCCAAAAAGTATTGTAAATATAAAAGTAGATGTAGCTGTTTAGAGTGAATCAAAGGCATTGTTAGTCTATGGTAAAATATCACATTACAGTGACATTTAATTTATAAAACAAACTCTAAGCTTGTTTTTCTAAGGCCTGGCCTGGGAATCTCAAAAGCAGGAATGTCAAGACCAGATACTTTGGCTACAGGTCACTTCCTCAAGTGACCCTACTCCTCCTGTTTATGGGTCAAATTGTAGAGAATAAGAAACAGAGATAATGTTTTGAGGTTGGTTATAGATTTGATTTAGTTATATGAAAAGGAAGACTTTTTATTGGTTTTCTTGATGGTACTGGGATTGAACAGAAATGTTGTACAATTTGAATCATACTCCTAGTCCTTTTACTTTTAGTGTTTTTCAAATAAGATCCTGAACTTTCACATAAGCCATTCTCGGTCCTTGATCCTCCTACCTCTGCCTCTGAGTAGTTAGAATTACAGGTATATACCATCATGTTTGGATTGTTTCTGAGACAGAGTTTCACTAACTTTTGCCCAGGTTGTCTTCAAATACTGATTCTCCTATTTCCACCTCCCAAGTATATGCGATTATAGATATGTACTATCATAGCTGGCTAAGAGTTTCTTATTTAAATAGGGTCTATATAATGTTTCTTTTTGGTTATCTATGGGGACCCTCACATAGGAAATATATTAAATAATAAAATTAATAAAATGTGTGATTGTATAGCTTGTGCTGTACAGTCTTTATTGATAAGAGCTTTCCTAAATCATGAATTCATAACATTCATAAAGTATTACTCCAAATGTTGCTCTACTAATCTTTGTAGATTATCACTTTAACTTTATAAGCTTTCAGATCTTCACGCTTATCACATCAATTTTGCTCAAACTTACCTAATTGCATAAACAACTATGGGAGTATCTCCTACCTTGGGTTGAAGCACAAACCATTCATCGCTTGGATTTTCGAAGTTCCATGAATCAAAAGGAATCTCCACCTCTCCGAGGAAGCAATTACGTCCAAAACGATCATAGTGCCAGACTGAGAGCTGCAGAGTTCTTGTTTCCAGCTGGGTGTGGCTGATGGTATACTGAAAATAAAGTTTACAAAATTACACACCACAAAGAAGGCTCTCTCCAAATCCAGGCACTTAGAGATGATCTATATCAGTAAGAACAAAACGAACTCAAAGAAAAGATTTTCCTTATTTCTGCTATAATAGAAGTTCTGTTTCATAAAGTAATTCTATATCAGACTTAGTGATGGAAGATGTATAAATAAACTATTTGAGAGTGAGGGCAATAAACTCCAGATAGAATATAAAAGATGATGAAATTTTTCCTCTTTCCATTTTACTTCATTTGCCTACATTTTTCATACCTACTTTTTAGTTCAAGACTTATTATAACAAATGTCTAACTTCTCTGTCATCCCTTGTTCTTCTAACTCATCTCTTGCTCATCTTCCTCCTCTTTCTGTTGTTCCTTCTACTATACAAACAGTATCTGGCTATACTTCAGACTGATATCTTTTTCTTTCTTTTTGCTATGTCCAGGGGCTTAAACTTGGGGTATTGCATTCACTCACCCTTCCTTGCCTATGACTGGCATTCTACTACTTTTTGAGCCATGCCTTTAGCCAGATTCTTGCTAATTATTTTCGAGATTAGTCTCTGGAACTTTGCTGCCTGAGCTTGCATCAAATCATGACCTCTGCTGTCAGCATTCTAAGTATCTAAAACTACAAATGTGAGCTGCAAGCTTTAGATCAGATGAACTGATTTCTGATCTCGGATTTATTTGTGTCTATTCCTGTCCTTTCTATCACTATTGTGATTAACTCTGGCTCTCTGCTCCCTAGATTTATCCCACCCTTGGCTTTATCTGTTCTGCTTGGGCTCATCTTTGCTAATCTGTTATAATCACTGCCTTCATCCTCTGACTGTATTTATTTATCTTAATATTAGCTCCAGTTTGCTTCCACTTATGCATGTAGGCTTGTGCCTTTTTGCCATCATCAACCTCCCCTCTATGGTGACTTTGAATCCATAATTTTAGGCACAAACCTATACATTTTCCTTTGATTGGAATATATTCCATTCTCCCTAGATCTTTCTTATCAGGGAAGATTTGTTCATGGTAAGGAAAGGGATTGTTGCATGAAAGGAAAACCATTAGAAATATAAAATTTTGCCAGGCACTGGCTCACGCCTATAACCCTACCTACTCAGGAGGCTAAGATCTAAGGATCACAGTTTGAAGCCAGCCTGAGCAGGAAAAATCTGTGAGAATTTTATCTCCAATTAATCACACAAAAAGCTGGAAGTGGTGCAATGGTTCAAGTGGTAGATTGTCCTTGAGCAAAAGTAGTTCAGGTACAGTGCCTAGGCCCAGAGTTCAAGTCCCAGGACTGGCAAACAAAAGACATAAAATTTAGGACTGAGGTCTGGGTTGTATTTTATGTAGAATATTTTCACTGCAATTTATTAGGTCTGATCCTGCATCTCCACTGTTCATTAACTGCACCCTTAAATTTATCCAAATTCTGAAAACCTAATACGAAGCCCGATAGACCCATGCTGTACTAGTAAAGCAATAGATGTGTACAACGTGACCTACAATGTTAAAGTAAAAGTTGTGGGAAGCTTAATTTAAGGGGTTGTTGGAGAAAGCAATGTCCCTAAAAGGTGAAATATGCTGGAACAAGATGTACTAGCTCAGATGCAATTTTGCTGAATCATTTCTACTTAAGGGGCAATGTGAGAAGCAGCAGAAAAGTAAGTGTAGCTTCCATTTTTAAAAAGAAATCTTTTCCAAAAATTTTTAAGAAAGGGCTAGGGGCATATCTCAGTGCTTTTCTAACATGCATAAAGCCCTATGTTCAGTCCCTAGCAAAAAACAAAACAAAACAAAACCTGCTAGGAAAGCCAGTAACATTCAAATTCCAATTTTCTAAAATACATATAATCATTGACATGCAAATAAATGATTCACTGTAGTTAATTTTAAACCAATGAGATTATGATCAATATTATATGAATTATTATGCAACTACATATTTACCTTCAGTGTTTCATTGAATTCTGGATTGGTGCCTGATCTGATTTTGGTCTTGCGCTTATTGTTTCGAGACTTGTCTGGAAGAAGGTATGATTTGACATAACTGTTGGTAATAAAGAATAAAAGTAATTACTTGGATGCACACACTTTTCAAGAAATATTCAAAGATTTCAATGGAGAAAAAAGCAAATGGATCAATGAGTAAAAGCGAGGAGACCAAAGTGAATGATGTCTAAGTTTGGGTCTTCCACAAGAGAGAAACAGTATAATGTTACAGTGTGCTGATGCTAGAGTCAAGGCAATTTGTTTTGGATCACCCCATGCCTCTGGTTTTGATGAGCTCAATAATTTCACTTTTCCATGCTATATGTAAAACTGATATAACCTCTGCATCTGACTCATGGCACTGTGTGGATTAAATTAATTGACATATACAAGAAGCTGACATCCTATGCTTCTCCATAAATATGGTCTAATACATTGTCAATGAGCTCATAAACTTTTCTGGTTCAATGCCTTTCTTTATATATATTATATTATATGTAATATAATATATATTATATATTACTGTAAAAATACTGTACAGAGGGGTTACAGTTATATGAGGTAATGAGTACATTTTGTAGCAAGCATTGTTACCTCTTCCTTTGTTTTCCCCCTATGGGTCAATGCTTTTCTATTCCTAGTCAGTCCTTCTGATGTCAGGGAGTGGAGTGCAATCATAATGAGTAGGAAAAAAAGAAAATTGTAAAGAAAAAGAAGAAATAGAAAATGACAACTTGAAGTCATAGCAGTAATTCTGTCCAATGTCGTGGCTTGAACTCTCTCAGCAGCCTCTTTCAGCAGTAGCATCATAGCTAACTCAGAAATTTATAGGATTGAAGCTGGGTACTGGTGGCTCATGCTTGTAATCCTAGCTCCTCAGGAAGCTGAGATCTCAGGATTGTGGTTTGAAGCCAGCCTGGGCAGGAACGTCCATGAGACTCTTATCTCCAATTAATCACAGAAAAAGTCAGAAGTGGTGCTATAGCTCAAGTATTAGAGCGCTAGCCTTGAGAAAAAAAGCCCAAAGACAGCACTCAGGCCCAGGGTTCGAGGCCAAGGACCAGCAAAAATAAATGAAATTTTCGGACTGAAATAGACAAGATGCTTCTAGAGTTCTGAAACACATCTGCTGTTTTTTTTAGCTATCTCTTTTCATGCTGGTCAAAATAATTATATCTGTCTTGGGGAATCTCTGAAATTAGGTTGAGGAGACGAGTATAGCTGTAGTTAGAATCTATTCATTGTTCTTGGACATAGGTCCTCTATTGTGCAGAAAAAGTTAACATAGAAAGACTGAGGTTGCCATTCTTTAGTCAATCTTGTTAGCAATGGCTTACCAATCTCAGAACTGAAAAAAGTAGTACATTGTGTCTATACTGTTCATACAAAACAATACAGCTTATGCTAAACATGTGTTTTCCTTCAGGGAGCCTGAAAATTTGGCATATAATCATGTGTGTCTCCAATAAAGTCCTCTTGTAGATAACATTTCATAGGAATTAAGTACATCCTGTGTAGCTCTATTGGGAGAGGACCCTGGAAAGCTTGAATCTATTTCTTCAGCACTTTATCCCATGTGTCTCTTCCATTCTTTGATGATAGCTGAAGGCAGAATCCTGTGAGTCTTTCTAGTGAACCATTGAAGCTGGCAGTTATAGCTCCCACCCAACATGCTATAGTCCATACTTGCACTCCCAAGCTGATGCCTAGAATCTCCAGAGCTTCATAACCACCTTTTTGAATTATTCAATTGGAAAACAACTTGGCAATTTAATCTGGAAGATTTCCCAGAACAGAAATCATCATGATACTCTTGTATATCCTTGATGTGCCAACATGGCAGCCCAATACTTCAAGACCCTGCATCTGTGTGAACTACAGCTTTGTGAGTTGGGAATCATGTTGAGTAATGGTCTTTTACAAATCAGGTAACCAAGGATACAACCATTGTAAAAGTACAATGGTTGTACTTGTATATAGCAAAGAATATCAGAGAACATTTACAAATGTGGTATAGGAGGAAAGTGACAGTCAATTCCTGATGTTCCAAATTGAGTGGGATGCTATGGCTCTTCTGAAAAAGAAATGCACACACAAAGCAGACAGTGCTTGAAATAGTCTGAGGAACATGCTTCATGCTTACGCATCTGTCCTCTGTTTCTTTTCATCTCCTATGGCCAGATTTCTGCAATTCTTGACAAAAATGTAGAGCCCGCCAGTTTTGTAGCAGTAGCTGATGTGGAGAAGGATTTCACCACTGACCTTCACGTTACCATAGTCTCCTGTTTCACTGTAAACACTCATCATGCTGTTAAGGCTGGTCTGAAATAAACAAGGTAAAAAGAAGGTTTCCAGTGTTATTCTAAGGTTTCTTTTTCTCCATAGAATCCATCACCTTGGTTCAGTTATAATTCCTGTTCTTTATAACGAGCAGGAATATCTAAGGTGAAGAAAAAGTATGTGACCTGTTTTGTTGGTGGCAAATAAAACTTGAGCCAATCCAGTATTATTAGTAAAGAAGGCAGGAAACTTGTTGATAGAAAAAGCTTTATCTTATTGGGTTTGTAAAACCCTTTGTTTATTCATTTCTTTTAATGAATAATCATGAAAGGTTTCTTTTTTTTTGGTCAGTAGTGGGGCCTGAACTCTGGGCCTGGGCGCGGTCCCTCAGCTCTTCAGCTCAAGGCTAGCGCTCTACCACTTGAGCTACAGCGCCACTTCCAGCTTTTTTCTTTTTGCTTATGTGGTGCTGAGGAATGGAACCCAGGGCCTCAGGCATATAAGGCAAGCGCTCTACCACTGAGCCACCTTCCCAGCCCCTCATGAAAGGTTTCTAATACCACTTCTCTCCATCCCTGCCACTTTCTACTTTTATATTAGTTCAATCTACTTCAAAGTCTAAAATACAATGGTCAAGACCAAGAAAAACTCATCTCGTATTCTGCACTAGCAAAAGCCTCCTGGCTTCTTTCCATGACTCCCACAAGGAACCATAGCTGTAGTTTTAACAAAGGCAAGAAAAAGAACATCATATCCCACAGCTGCTTTGATACCCAAACTAAGTAACTGTGTGGCTACATAGACCATGGCTTTGAAATCCTTTGAAATATTGATCCATAAAATGTAACCCTAAATAATAAAGACATACTCCCTCGAATCAATGAAATAAAAAATTCCAAAGTTTTAAATGTGCCAGAACAAATTAAGCTTTTGTCAAGACACTAATAACATTGGTTCTCAATACTGGGATTTGAACTTAGTCTCACAGCTGATAAGAAGGCACTCTATCCAAGCCTCCAACCCCATTTTCTGTTACTTTTTTTTGAGACATGGTCCTGCTTTTTGTACAGGTGCATATCTGTACCACAATGCCTATTTTAGGCTTCATGTTATTGCTGGGATTACAGATGTGTGCCATCACATCCAATTGCCCACACGCTTGAGATAGAGTTTTTGTGGACTTTTTTTCTTGGGCTGACTTAAAATCACAGTCCTCCTAATCCCTGCTTCCCATGTAGCTTAGGAAGATAAAGGTGAGCCACCAGGCCCAGCTTAGGGTTGAGAAGGTGTATTGCAAACATTTTTGTCTATTCTGGCCTCGAACCATGGATGGTCCTTCCACTTTCAGCCTTCCAAGTAGCAAGGTTTATAGGTATAAGTCACTGGAATTCAGTATATGGGATATATTTTTAATTAAATTAATTATAAGAAAATTATTCTGTAGCACTAGAAACAAAAATTCTCTGTCTTACTAACATGGCTTTCACAAAAGACCACTTCAGGGGTTGAGTGCTCTCTCTGAGCATTTTTGCTCAAGGCTAGTGCACTACCATTTTGAGCCACAGCTCCACTTTCAGCTTTCTGGTGGTTAATTGGGGCTAAGAGTTTCACAGACTTTCCTGCCTGGGCTGGCTTTAAACCATGATCCTCAGATCTCAACACCCTGAGTAGCTAGGATTACAAGCTTGAGCCACCAGCACCTGGCTAAGACCACTGATATTTGTAAAGATCATGGGAAGATTTCACTAGTGATATAGTAGTTTCATTAGTCTTAAAGAAGACTATGTATGAGTGTGTATGAGTGTGTGTGTGTGTGTGTTTATGTGCGTGTGAAAACAATGCATAACATTTTTGGCAAAAGGCATTTCCCCCCTCACATTGCTTAAAATAGAGGTTGTTCAACAAATAGGAGGTGGGTGACATGGCTCATATCTTTTGAAGCTTAAGGCATAAGCAAGAGCAAACTAAGGATTCCAAAATGAATTGGAAATTTCGTTCAAAGGGAGCCAGTAAGTAACCTAATTGGTGTTACTTATTCCTAAAATAAAGCAACACAATTTTCATGTTTAGTAGGTGGCTTTTAACAATGTTTTTCCACACTTGAATTGCACATAAATTACCTGGGGATCATTTAAAAATGAAGTTTCTGATTGATGAGTAACTCTAGGGAAGGGTCTGAGATTTTGTTTTTTCAATCAATACCTAGATCCAAAGTTTCCAAATAGCATGACCAGAGCTCCACAGAAAATTTATAGAAGCACCACAGAATATTTTAAGTTTAAAGGGAAACACAAACACAGCAACGTCTATCAAATATCATGCAAAAGCTAAGTAGGAGTTATTTTAATGGTCAAAATGTCCTCATTAAATAATATTTTGTTCTTTTGTTAATGAATTTCTATTTGTGTGAATTGGAGCTTTTGGCAGTTTCTGCAACAAATAAAAAGAACATAAAGCAAATATTCCATAAAAATCAATGTAAAGGCTGGGTGTGCTGGTATAAACTATAAACCCAGCACTTGAGCAACTGAGGCAGGAGGGTTTTGAGTTCCAGGTCACCTGGGCTACACAGTGATAACCTGTCTCAAAAGAAAGTCAATATACAACAGAGAATGAAAGTGATGATATCCAACTAGGTTCTAAGATTTGAGAAACTATATTATTCAATAGCATATATGTCCTATTAGTAAGTAATCGAGGCTATTAAAGAATTCAATGCATTTTTTTCAATCTACCTGCATTCTTTTTCAAATGGCTATATTAAGTGATTAGGATACAAATAGTTATTATTATTATGTTGTTTACACCTAATGGCTTAATAATTGACTAGTCAATTGTTATTTTGGGCCTTAGAACACCATGAAAGAATTACAGAGACTCAAGGGGCTCTGTACCCTGAGAAAAGTTTGAAATCTCTATCTCAGGTGGTCTATGAACGAAGCTTTGAGTACTAAGAACCAACCCCTTACAATACACCAAAGAAAACTCTGGCTTATAGAAATCATTGGGAATGTCTAGACATAAGTTGTTAGTCCCAGGTTTCTAGTTAGAAGCCCTCCTAATCACATCTCACTACCTCATTAAGTGACTAAGTCGTGTCTTCACTACATTCTTTTGTAGCTACATCATTGAGTAGGCCCTCTATAAGCAAGGGGACCCCAAGGATAGAAGAATATATAAGAACCCACAGAAAAATGAGGCTTTGGAAAATTGAAGGCAGCTATGGAAAGTTTACTATTAACCAAACATTTTGCTCTTAACCAAGCCAAGTCTGTGACTCACAATGGAGATGTTTATGCAAAAGGTTTTTGTTGATAGGTAATCCTTTTGGATCATGTGTTTCCTGACTAGCACTCTGATTTCCATGTGTAGTGAGCTGAAATACTTGACTTCTAACAAACTCATTAACCTTTTCAAAAGAGAACTTCTGGCTAGCTATACAGCATTCAGAAACAGATGAATGGTAGATGCAATGCCTACCTAAATCATATGTCCATATCTGCAAGATTTGTGAAGTATAGTAGAAAAGTGGAAAAAGAAAGGCTGAAAACTCACAGTGTCTGAATCAGCATCAGGCACATTTAGGTATGTCCACTTCCTGTCAGAGCCTGCTTGAGAATTCTTTAAGGAAATCACCCAAAGACCAAAAGGAAAAAGGGAATTAGAGCAATAGATGTTAGAGAAGCAAAGCAACAGACATATAGACACAGATAAATACGAGTACACAGGGCTCCTAGAGCCTTCCTCTCAAAGAAAACCTTGAACATTAAAGCAAGAAATCTCTTTCAAAGTTTTCCTGTAGCAGTTTCACAGTTTCAGGTATTATATTAAGGTCTTTGATCTGTTTTGATTTTTGTACAGGCTTAGAGGGTAAGAGGTGGTGGTCTTGTTTCAGCCTCCTGCATGTATAGACCCAGTTTTTCCAGCAGTGTTTGTTGAAGAGGCTGGCTTTTCTCCAGTGTATGTTTTTGGTACCTTTGTCAAAGCCCATCTTGTAGAATCAGCCAAGGTGCTCCAAAACTGATGGATGAACATGGAAACTATTTTATACATATACTATGGAGTATTACTCCATCATAAAGAAAAATATAATTATGTCATTTGCAGGGAAATGGATGGAAGTAGAGATCATCATGAGTGAGAGAACTCAAAAGGCCAAATATTGAATGTTCTCATTCATTTGTGGAGTACAGACCTAAAATGATGACAACAACAGTCAAGATAATGGGGCATGAATGTAAAGGGGGACTGTCTAAAAGGGACCAGGAAGAGAAGGGAGGAACAAATGAGGGAATACTGAGGAGTGAAGAGGATTGAAGGATGTTCACACACACACACACACACACACACACACACACACACACACACACACACACACATACACACATCTATAAATGTGTATATATATATATGTATGGGTACACATATATATGTATACCCATACATATGTGTATGTGTATATTGTATGCATACATAGAATATGGAAGCTCAACAAGTACCGAATGAATAAGGGGGAAAGAGTAACAGGAACATGGTGAAGAGAGTAAATTTGTTAAAAGTATACTGTTCAAAGCATAACAGGAAATATCACAATGAAAAACCCTTCATATTTTACATATGTAGTAATTCAAAAAGAAAGCTGTTAATTGTGTAGGCAGTGAGAGCTGTGGGTAATTTCTGAATAGAAGAAAAACCTCAGTGGGGATAAGTTTTAGGAAAATGACTGGCAGCAGTGTGGAAAGCAGTTAGAGTTGTGAGAATGCTGTCAGGAAAAGTTATGTGCAGAGAACTTAATTATAGGCTTGAGCTTACTGGGACCAAACTAGGAAAGGAAGTATATGTACGTATGTATGTATCTATCTATGTATGTGCCAGTCCTGGGGCTTGCACGCAGGGCCTGGGTGCTGCCTCTGAGCTTTTATGCTCAAGGCTAGTGTGCTCTCACTTCAGCTACATCTCACTTCAGCTACTTCTGTCTTCTTGGTGGTTAGCTGGAGATCAAGTCTTACAGACTTTCCTGCCTAGACTGGTTTTGAACCACAATCCTCAGATCTCAACCTCCTGAGTTACAGGAGGATTACAAGTGTGAGCCACTGGCACCCAACCAGGAAGATATATTTTTAAAAATCACACAATTGTACATATTTCTGGGCATATAATTTGATAATTCAATACATATATACAACATGTAATCATCAATAATATGAGGACAATTTGCATTTTATTATTTTATGATGTTGGGAATCTTCAAACTCTTCTCTTCTGCTTCTTTATAAAATGAAAAGGAGGAGATGGGAAAATCTGGGTGAGAACCATGGAAAAGAAAGGAATCAGAGCCTTAGAAAGAGGCACAGGGTAATCAGGAACCTACAGGTGCTGTGTACTCATCACATATTTCCCCAAGAATGCTCATATCTCCTATGGAAATGCACAGAAAATAGACATTAGAAAGAAGATCATTTCTGTTTGTGTCAGACAGCTGCTTACAGTTGATAGGCCACTTGCCAGACTGTGGGTGTTTGTAGAAAACTGGGACGATGCTCTGTCATCAACACCTTCTTCAATCTCTTCGAAGGAGTTCTAAGAAAATAGGAAAAATCAGATGTTTGGTTTATTTCTTACCTATAAGTTTTTTTTTAACCTGGAAGACCAATTTCTTTAATGCATATGTAAAAATCAGCTAAGATCTTTCTCTAGATCGTTCTCTTTTTCCCTCTAATTAATCTGAATTGTACCATTAAGGGAGTAGATAGGGGCTGGGGAGGAAGATTGAGACTCTTTCCTAACAGTACTTGCTTTATAGAAAGAACATGAAATTTGGACTCACACATACCTAGGTTCTTTTTCTTCCCCCAGATTTCCAAGGTACTTACATTGGGAAATGTGCTTAAGATTTTTCAACAATATTTTGACCGCTGTGTGTATAAAAGACTAGATTTAAAATAATTTTCCTTCAATACTTTGAGAGTATTTTCTCCTTCATCTTCTTGTACACTGTTACCATAGAAAGCTGATAAATGGGATGCTTGTTTATTTGTATGACATATAATTTGTCTCTAGAAAGTTTTAGAATTTGCTCTTGTGCTTAACAGTCTTTGATTTTACTATGTTTCTAGATGTGAGATGTTACTTTGACACTTTGAAACAAGATAAATGTTTCAATTCTGAGAAATGGAACTTATTGTTTCAGTCTATTTTTGATATTTTTATATTTTGCTCTTTCTGAATATGTTATTTACCCAGCATACTAGTAGTCTTTATAAATCTTTATTTTTTTTGCCAGTCCTGGGACTGAATTCTGGGTCTGGGTGATGTCCTTGAGCTCCTTCAGCTTACAGCTTAAGGCTAGCACTCTACCACTTGAGCCACAGCTTCACTACCAGCTTTTTGGTGGCTAATTGGAGAAAAAAGTCACACAGACTTCCTGTTTAGATTGGCTTCAAACAGCAATCCTCAGATCTCAGCCTTCTGAACAGCAAGGATTACAGGGTGAGCCACTGGTGCCTGACTTATACACTGTCTTTTAATAAATGGGACACAAAATTATGAACATAGAAGGAATTATCATACTAATCTCTTATTATGGATCATTCACTTTAAAAAATTATTAATAAATGTTAGTTATTTCCCTTGTCACATACTTCTCCCCCACACCAATTTGAGATATAACGTAAAGATAAAAATAAATATATATAAGTATAAATATTAATATACTCAAGAGAATGGTTACTCACTCCTATAATCCTAGCTCCCCAGGTGGCTGAGATCAAGAAGATGGTGATTTGAAGCCAATCCAGGCAAAAAGTTTGTGAGATCTCATTCTACCAATACAATCTGGGTGCAATGGTAGGTGCTTGCTAGCATAAAAGTAGGAGGATGATGGTTCAGATTGACCCCCATATAAATAAATGAGAGATTTTTAAAAAAAATAATGAGAGCAAGAATGACTGGGGATATGGCTCAAGTGCCAGAACTCCTGCCTGGCAATTGCAAGGTCCTCACTTCAGACAAATTCCAGAAACTCCTATATCCAATTAGCCAGGAAAAATCCAGAAATGGAGGTATTATATCCTTGATGGTTTTGGAGACAAGAATCTGATGGACTTTTCTGCCTGGGCTAGCTCTGAATCACAACTTTCTGGATCTAAGCTTCCTGAGTAGCTAGGATTACAAGTATGAGCCACTGGTATGTAGCCAGTTAATGTTAAATCAAACTTGTATCCCTGCCATACACTCTACTTGGTTTGAGTGTTGCTGGACTTGTGTTGTTGTTGTTTTTACTGGACTTGGTTTATAAAATGAAATGGTAAATACTTCCTTCTCAATTTTCTGACCATGGTATAAATTTTTAGTATTTATTTTTCTTCAACTGCTTGATGGAATTCATTGGTGAAGGTATCTGTATCTTGACTTTTCCATAGATGGGTGTAAAGTTTGGCCTAAAGCTATTTCCACACATATTTTTAAGTATTCTAAAGGTTTCTTCATATCTAGTGAACTACAACATAACTTGATGGATAACAGACCTATCTTTAAACAAGTAGCCGAGTCTCAGCTAATCTCAGGCAGCCACTGGTGTTCAAATCACATTCAAATAAGACAGACTCAAGTTGGAACCATTGAGGCTTCCTCATTTCCAGTTTCTGTGGTACTTCTTGCCTGTGAATATTATTCTATGTGGCAAGGTGAGGCTTTTTGAACCATTTTGGTCCACATTTTGGATGATTCTTCAATCACATATAATGCGAATAAAATCTGTAAAACTAGATTTGTGATGTGAATGTGTGTGTGTGTGTGTGTGTGTGTGTGTGTGTGTGTGCGCACGCGCACATGTACGTGCCACTACTGGGGCATGAACTCAGTGCCTTATGCTCTTGCTTTGCTTTTTCTCTCAATGTTGGCGCTTTGAATTGAACTATACCTCCACTTCCAGATTTTTTTTCTGGTTAGTTGGAGAATTTCTTGGATTTGTCTGCCTGGGCTGGCTTGAAAGCAAGATTCTCAGATTTCAGCTTCTTGAGTAACTGAGATTACATGAGTCACAGGTGTCCCCACTGATTTGTTATTTTTTTCTAAACAGGGAAGATTTAAATAAGATTTTAAGTTTATTCATTATAGAGCTATTCAGACTGGGTTTAATTTTTGAGTCAGTTTTGGTAATTTGTGTTTATTTTATCTAAGTTGCCAACTGTGAGTGCATATAGTTGTTCATAGAATCACCTTAAAGCCATTTCATTTTTTTTATATTGGTAATGGCACTCCTTTACGTATTCCTAGTTCTGATAATTTATATCACTTTATATTTATCTTGAATAGGGGTGATTTATATTTATCTTGACTAGGAGTGGTTTTATCTTCCAAGGTTACCTGGAGATATTTTTGAAGGTCATGACTGGCTAAGAATTAGTGAAAAAAGGCTGGCCTTAGCCTTAGTTACTTCCAAGTATCCTGTAGTATACGGGATAGACACCCTTGCCACAACAACAAATTATATGGCTCAAAGTGTCAAAAGTGTCAAGGTTGAGAAATTCTGAGTAGCTGAAGATTTGTCAATATTATTGATCTCACAAAACCAATATTTGTCCTCATATATTACAGCAGTTCCAAATTCTGATTATTTTTTCTCTGAAGGTCACTATTGTTGCTTTTTTTTGTATGCTTCTTTGTGTGTGTGTGTGGGGGGGCGAGGTTGAAATCAAGGTTTGGACACTGTTTCTGAACCTTTTTGTTCAAGGCTAGTATTCTATCACTTGAACCACAGTCCACTTTAGGCTTTTTAGTAGTTAAAGGGTCTCATGGACTTTCCTGCCAGAGCTGGGTTTGAACAGTAATCCTCAAATCTCAGTCTCCTGAGTAGCTAGATTTATAGGCATGAGCCATCAGCATGAAGCTACATGCTTCTCTTTAAAAAATTAATTTACTTACTGTTATTACAAAGGTGATATACAGAGGAATTACAATTACATGAGTCTGGTAATGAGTCCATTCCTTTTCGTCCAGTACTTCTCTTCAAGCTTTATTTGTTTAGCAAATGTGTATGGATGCTTAGGTCTCTACTTAGTTTTTAGTTGTTTTTAACCTTTTTGTTAATAAACCACATTTCTGCATGAAGTTTTTGTTTGTTTATTTATTTTTGCCAGTCCTGGGGACAGAACTCAGGTCCTGGACACTGTCGCTGAGCTCCTCTTTTTTTTAAAATTTAATTTTATTGTCAAGGTGATGTACAGAGAGGTTACAGTTACATACATAAGGTAGTGAGTACATTACTTGTTAAACATTGTTACCCCCTCCCTAGTTTTTCTCCCTCTCTTCCTCCCCTGAAGTGCTCCTAAGTTGTAAAGTTCGTTTTCAACATTGTCTTGTGAGTATCGTTGTTGGTTCACCCTTCATCCTCTGTCTCACCATTTTTATTGTTCCCCTTCCTTTCCCTAATTCAGATAAATGTATATACAATATAGGGTGCCAAAATCAAATACAGTGGCAACAAGGGATAAAACATAGGAAAAATACAAGAATGAAAGTAAAAACAAATAACTTCACACAGTACATTCAAAACAACAACCACAACAAAGAAAAACCTCTTGTGTCCATATCTGGGAGTTCGGTTTGCTTAACATCATCTTATATGGTCATATGTATATAGCTATTGAGATATTGTGATCTCTTGAGCTTCTCTTGCTCAAAGCTAGCACTCTACCATTTGAGCCACAGCACCACTTTTTCTGTTTATGTGGTACTGAGGAACTGCCAGGTCTTCATGCATGCTAGGCAAGCACTCTACTACTAAGCTATATTCCCAGCCACGAAGAGTTTTATAGTCAGTTCATAACTATGAAAGATTGTGCTTAAACAAACCTCTAGCTAGTGAATATTCAATCCTATTTCAATGGAGCTGTGTGTTAAATTTATTTATTTATTTGCTATTTTCTTACATTTTTTAAAATTAAGTAATTATTTTCTTATATTTTTGCTGATCCTGAGGCTTGAACTCAGGACCTGGGAGCTGTGCCTGTGCTTTTTTGCTCAAGACTAGTGCTATACCACTTGAGCTACAGCTGTACTTACAACTTTTTGGTGATTAATTTGAGATATAAGTGTAATGGACTTTCCTGCCCAATGTAGCTTTGAACAGTGATCCTTAGATCTCAGCCTCCTGAGTAGCTAGGATTGCCACTGCCTGCCTCTATCTATCTATCTTTCTATCTATCTATCTATCTATCTATCTATCTATCTATCTATCCTGGTAGTACTGGGGCTTCAATTCAGGGCCTTCTGAATGATCTCAGTGATCCTACTGCCTCTGCCTCTTGAGTAGTTAGAACTATAGGTGCATTTAATGGGCCTGGCTCTGATTGTTGTTTTCTTAGAAATGATTTACTTTTTCTAAGTAATTCTTTCATTCACTTGTATATGCTGACTTTGAATACTACCAAGAATAGATATTGTACATTCTTACTTTCCTCTCAACTCATCATCATCTAAAAGTGGAACTGCTTGGAGCAGTTCCTGACCATGGGACTTTCTTCCTGACCATGGGACTCCCTTCCAGATCAAACTTACCAAATCATTGTCTAAAGTTCCAGGGACAGATCTGCTTCTTACACTTTCTGTATCTTCTAAGTCTTCTGTAAAAGACCCACTCAAATCTAACTCAGATCGACTCTGGTCTGGAGGGAGGAAAAGCAAAAGATAAATGTGAATCAGCTTATCTTGTTAGAAGTTCCCATTTCTCTTTCTCCTTGCAAATGTTTCATTTTTATGCCAGTTTTGTTTAGGGATAGAGTACAGATAGTGTCATAGAAGTGACAGCGAGGGCCAATAACTTCATACTGTTTATGTTAACTTCCTTTTTTATAGCATTTTTGAAACTGCCTTGGATTAAGCACTAACATTTGATCACAGGAGTTTAAGTGCTCTACTATAAAATGCTAAGCCTTAATCTTTAAGGCTTCTGCTTTATGTCTAGACTTAAAAAAAAACCTCTTATAGATTCAGTCTTCAATTCATTGCTTTCACATCTGACATAAAATGCAAGTTAAACAATTCTAAAATTCAACTTTTAAACGGTAGAGCACGTTCCTTTCACGTAAAATGGGAGTAAAGAGTTGAGAGGAAGCTTCTTTAGGCACTAGAACATTCTTTCATGAATAAAACATCTTGCTTTTGGTTTTAAAATTATCAGTTAAAGAATACTGCATTTCTCAGTAGTACTGTGGACAGCTCATCAAGTCAGGATAATTTTCACAGAATATTTCCTAACCAAAATCATGCTGTGGTACATAGAGTGGTTTTATAGATGAGAAAAATGGGAGAAGGTGATCAAATGGTTAAGTTTAAAATGAAAAATAAAATAATATAGAAATGCTTAGCATAGTTCCAGAGAGAGTATGTACTCCAGAGATAGGATCTGTCTAAGCTAGCTTGCAACTTTTCACTTTTCTAGGCTAACTTACAATTTTAATTTTTAGTTGTCTTGATAAAAGTGATCACACAGATTTAGAAGACTGGTACACAGAACCTCACATATGCACACTTGTGCATGTGCATGTGCATGCACACACATACTTCTCCCTCTCCTCTCCTTCTCTCTCTCTCCTTCTCTCTCCCTCTCTCTCTCTCTTACACACTCACACACACACACACACATACACACACACGCACACAACCATTTTGGATCTGTCTGAGAGAGATTTCCTAACTTTACCTAAGCTATAACCTGGAATCTAGCCCTAGGCTTTATGAATATATGATCACTAAGAAACAGTAAAATTTTAATGTTGAGAATTTCATGAATTTAGTTCTACATATGGGATACAAACTTGATAATTATGAGCATTCCTCTAAATAGTTTCCTTATTCATAGGTAATGATATTGTTACATAAATATTTGGCTCACGAGATTGTTGTGATAACAAAATAAAATATATGAATGTGTCGTATGTTAAATGGAAAAGGTTATGATTAATACCTCAATGTTATTTGTGAATAACTCATTTAAACCATGAAATAACTTTGCCATGTGGACAGAGAGACCTTCTGGCCATCAAATCAGTTGAACTATTTTTCTCAAACTCTGGTCAAGTAATTTTATCTATCGTATCAAACATATCCTAGAGCCATTTAAATTCCTTACAGAGCCCTAAAAATTGTCAATGATGCCTGGCAAGAGTATACACTCAGTAAATGGATATTTCGTGAATGCAATAGCATGAATTAAGCAAGAAAGCTCAGTATTCACAGGTCTCTGACCTCAAACCTTGATACCCCCCCTTAAAAAAATAAAAATAATTGATCCAGACTCTGTTGGCTCACAACTATAGTTATAGCCACTCCAGAGGTGTGGAGTGGAAGGACTGAAGTTTGAGGCCATCTCAGATAGACTCTATTTCCAAAATAACCAATAAAAATCAAGGCTGAAGGCATGTTTCAAGTGGCAAGTGTCAGCCTAACAAGTATGTGGACCTGAGTTCAAATCCAATGCTACAAAAAGTGGATGATTATTCTTTTGAGGCATATAACAATAATACCATAGAGAATAGTCAATTCCATCTGATTCCATCATTTATGACAACAGAGCAGTCATGCTGTAAATGATCACCTGAGCAAACAGAGGCCCCAGACACTGCTATGGAAGGTGTGCCCGAAGTATTTCTGCGGTGGCTCTTTGTGAGGTTTTCAGAGGTGCTTTCAAACGCAGCCAAACCCATGGAATTTTCAAAACCATGTTCCTTCACCGAGAGTACAAAAGAAGAAAGGAAGATTATATTGATGAATTTACCTTAAAATCCTTCCATATAAATCTACTCAGTATACATAAACTGATGTGTATTACTTTTTAGGAGGAATGAACTGCTATTTAAAGGAACCTCATCAGCAGCCCATAGAACTCCAAAACTTACTATCAATACAGTTATTCCAAAATGTTTTCTATTTTGCACAAAGGCACTTGAATATGTTTTTCATTTGCAAAATTAGCATTGTAATATATAGTTAGCAAGAAGGGACCAGGGGGAGAGGGAATGAAATAATAGGGATTATTGAGGAGTAAAGAAGATTGAAGGATGCTGCGTGTGTGTGTGTGTGTGTGTGTGTGTGTGTGTGTGTGTGTGTGATTTCACAATAGCATAATGAAATCTACCAAATGCTGTTTGAAAAGGTGGAAACAAGAGGAGGATTGGGACAGGGTGGAAGTGATAAATGTGTTTAAGTACACTCACTATGTGTATGAATGGAAATACCACAACGAAACCCTCCTATATTAAAAAATGTACACTAATTCAAAAGTAGAAAAAGAAATGGTACAGGTATCTCCAGTCTTGGAAGACACACTATGTTTAAGTAATCTGGTGAGCTTTACACTGTTTGATTAGCATGTGGCCTTACAAATCTGGTCTTACATTTCGTCTCTGAATATCTACTTTGCTACCCTGCTACTTGCTCTGTAATGTTCCCCAAAGACCCATATATTAGACGCTTGGTCTTCAATTTGGTGCCATTAGAAACCTTTATTTTCTTGCTTTCATATCTTGGAGTTCATTTGGATTAGCATCATTTTGTATGGTCATATGTACATAGCTATTGAGCTATTGTGATCCTCTGCTAGGACTATCCTAATTATTGCAAATAAGGGAAACCATGGAGCCTATGTTTCTTTGGATCTGGCTTATTTAATTTAATATGATATCTCCATGTCTTTCCACTTCTAGAGTAAGGACTTTGTCAGCTTACAGAAGTAGCTGATGGGGGTGGGAGAGGTTGCCTGCTTCAAAATAAGTGCTGTCTGTAGCAGAATTCAGTCTGAGTCTAGTTTTCATTGTAACCTATGATAAAGCAAAATGGTCCCAACCATTGCCAGGTCTATGGGGATTTGACTGCTGCATCAATACGCAACTTGCTTTAATATTTTAAAAATGTGGACTATTTGAGAAATAGGCTGAAGTTCAATGTCTATGTAGATCCCATCATGGCATGACAATGATCAAACCTGAAATAGACCTTATAAATAGTCCAAAATGTGCCCTTCAAAGTCCTACAGTGTGGAATGCCTTCCTTGTTGCCTTCACCTTACACATTCAAGTATACTTTAATAAACTCATTCCAGAGAGCTGTGGCTCTGACTTGCTTAGCATGCTAATCAGTTTAGTTTCAGCAGCTTGTTTTTACTTCTTCATTACTTTCCAACACATAAGACCTTGTAGCAGAAGTTATATAGCTCCCAAGTCTTCTACTTGCCATGGGTTTATCAACAGAATATGACAGAGGTTAAATGGCTAAATGAGTTTAGGTCAGTTTTTAGCAGTTCTTCAAAAATTTCTTCATACATGGCATCCTCTAATGAAGCAAAACCAACTTCTTATTGGCAATTATGATGATGGTAAATTTTCACACAGGTGATCTAGCGCTACTGTTAATATAGAATAAGAGTAGAACAATTGATATTGTAGAGTCATTAACATGGAATGCATGCCATTGAGCTTCTATATATGAAGCCTAAAATGAGCAAGTTACATCACAGTAGAGGACAGGTGAGAGGCATTCTTGTCCTGAAAGTTTATGAAGTTGAAAAATATTCCTAAAGCAGAAAAGAATATTGAAGCAAAGATATGCCAAGAAATTGGAGAAAAGGAGAAATTGTGACTTCGACTATTAACTGTAGGTCCTCATTCTCTTTGTTATGAAGGAGCAAATGTGTTTTGTAAACCACTGTGCAGTCTTATTTTTAACATAAGATGTTTCTTTTCCTCTTTCCTTAGAAAAATTACCTTAGTCTAACCCATAAGGAAAACATGAGATCAACATTGGCAGTATTTATAGGCAATGTACCCAACTTCGTTGAAGGCAGTTTCTGTTGACAAGGTGATTTTTCTCCCCTATCCTCTCAGACAGTACCTGAAAAATAATCCTTGCTTTGAGGACAATCCTTGCTTTGAACAATTTTTTGGGTTATTTGAGAGAGTCAGCTGTTCTTCCTTGACATAGTGTTTTTATGGACTTTTATATCTGTTGATAAACTGAACTACCCAGCCCGTCTTTCCTTCCTCATTGGATGGGAGCCTCCACTCAATCTGCATAACTGAATAGCATAGAAGGGTTCTCAATATACTGCCTATCCTTGTGCCAGTATCGGTTCTGATTGCTCTGTGCCCCTTCCTTACACACTGCTAAATATGTTGAATATCATTTCTTGTTAGGTTGCCAAAAAAGTGAGCATAACCATCAACTGTCTATGTGCTTTTCTGACTACTGAACACAGTCTGCTTGCTGAGCTTAGCATACGTATTTGCGACATTTAAAAATATGCCTTTTAGCTTAGCAATTACGTTCTAGACTAAGTGTTTGAATAAATATCATATTAACATTAGATCTGTTGGAATGTCTTTTTTCCCTTAAAATATCTACAGAAGGGCTGGGAAGTTGGCTTAGTGGTAGAGTGCTTGCCTTGCAAGCATGAGGCCCTGGGTTCGGTTCCTCAGCACCACATAATCAGGAAAAGCCAGAAGTGGCGCTGTGGCTCAAGTGGTAGAGCTCTAGTCTTGAGCTGAAGGGCTGAGGGACAGCGCCCAGGCCCAGAGTTCAAGCCCCATGACTGACAATATGCACACACACAACACACAAACACACACACATACATACACACATATATGTATCTACAGAATCTAACTGCTTACTACCTTCACTGCCATCTCCCTGTTCTAACGCCCAGTCTTTTGCTTGGCATATGGAACTTTTGCCCCTTTAAAGACAATTTAAATGTAAATTGGACCTGTTTGGTTTGGCTATTGTATAATGGACTAAAAAGCTATATTATTACAAATGATCATTTGTGGCTGATTTTATTCTATACGGGTCATGTACAATTTTCATGGCAGAGACAAGTGCTGTTCTAGGGGACATGTCTCTGGGACATTTTAAAACCAGAACCAAATGTCTTTTCAGTTTCAAATACAGGTTAAAAGATTTAGGAAATGTTTTAGAAACTGGCTGAATAGGACACTGACTTTTCAAGTTAGAGGTTGTCTATTTGTGGAATCAGTATCATAGAGATGATACTTTGCCCCAGACATCTGCATGGGCAATTCTTTCATTTTCTTGAAGTATTTGCTTGGTCTAGACCTCAACAAATACTAGTAGGACCTCAACAAATACTGATTGAATTGAAGAACTGTGGTTGATACATAAAGATTTTAAAAAATTATCTTCAAGTAATTATGCAAGGGACTTTTAACTTAACATGTATGAACCTGTCATGTATACAATGTATCTTGATCATAGTCACCCTTTTCACCATTGTCCCCTTCCTAGTTCCTAAATATAGATCCTAGAAACATAGTTACTTTATTGATTAATAAAGAATCTGCAAATGAACTATATAATTTGTGGGTGGGATGGGAGGGGAAAAACTGGAAGAAAGCGAAGGAAAGATTGACATTATCCAAGAATAAATGTACTCATTACCTGATTTATGTAACTGTAACCCCTGGGTATATCATCTTTGTAATAACAATAAAAAATAAAAAAATTTTAAAAATCTAGTAGAGGCTAATTCAATCTAACAACTTCCAAAAGAGTATTTAACAAAAATGAAGTATTTCTGCCAAATGTTTTTTTTCCACCTTCTCCTTTAAAAATATAATTTATTAGATTTAATATGCAATTTAAACTTTCATTTATACATTGATATACTATTTTAACAAATGTACAGAAAAGTCTAAAGAGTTTGTTATATTCTACTTTCCCAGATTCACAACACCTTGGAAAAATTTTAGTATGGTTAATGTATGAATATGTTTTCTGAGAAGTAACATGGAAGTTCGCATTCAGAACCTCCTATAAATTCCTTATATTGGTTTAAAGCATATAGCCATTTAAGTCCCTCTCATACAATGCCAACTGTAAGCCTTGTCTTTTCTGTTTCTTTTCACTTTGGATTTGTGGCTTAAAGATAGAGATGCAGGAGACTTGGTTTAATGAAGAAGATTTTTATCACTGAACAGCATAAACAGTATGCTCTGAAATGCTCTGAACTCAAACCCAGTCTTGGTTTGGGGGATGAAGTCATGTTACAGAGGCTGGCTGGATGTCTCTTTACATCTGTCAACTTACTCTACTGCTGACTGAAGAAGTGCTGCGTGTACTTGGGGCTGGTGATCTCTGAGTGACCAAGACTACACCATTGCTCCGGAAGCTTTTTGGGATCCCAGGTCCAGTCTCCTGATCAATGAGATCTGATGAAGCAGTGCTTCCCCTAAAGGAAAAGAACATTAATTCAGGCTTTAATAAGGAAACAGAGTGACAAAGACACAGGCAGAGAAATTCTGACTTGAAAATGGTGAGGACATGTTAATAACACTAAGTTAACAAGAGTCACTCTGGAACTATTCAGAATAACGTCACACTCTTCAAAGACTTTCAGGCCTTGTTAGGTTTACTCCATTTGCCAGACTCTAGGGTACTTGGCAATGAACTTCACCCTACCTTTCCAACTTTATTTCCCAATCCTCAAAGCATACTCTCAGTGCTGGGAAGGTGGCTCAGTGGTAGAGTGCTTGCATTGCATGTATGAAGCCCTGGATTCAATTCCTCAGCACCACGTAAGTTGAAAAAGCCGGAAGTGGTGCTATGGCTCAAGTGGTAGAGCGCTAGCCTTGAGCTGAAGAGCTGAGGGACAGCACCCAGGCCCAGAGTTCAGGCCCCATGACTGACCAAAAGGCAAAACAAAGCAAAATAAAAAACCATACTCTCAGCCATTCCACGGCCCTGCTTATTCTCTCAGTTCATTTCCTCTTGCCACCTCTGTTCTACCTAGTTCTCATTTGCTTACTATCTGGCCAAGCCATTCTATAGTATTTGACAATAGAATGTCTCATTTGGTGTTCGAATGTACAGTCCTTGGTATCTTTCAACTTTGAACTGCCTGGGAACAGACTATGTGTCATATTTACCAGGATATCTCCAATATATTCCTCAAGAAGTAATTTAGCATATGCTTAATCAAAGATTGGAAATTACATTTTATTTCTTTGTGGTTTTAGTTTATGACTCATAGTGCATACTTAATAAATGTGCTGTGAAAATAATGACATTTGGTAAATTGGCTTGAATAACATTCATATTTGCTAAAAGGATTCATTTCTATTTAATAATGCTAGAAGGAAAAGAGTAATTCCTGCCTTTCACGTGATCACAATTTTCTCATTAGGTGCAGCTTCCTAAGCCAATGTAAAGTTTTGACAAACTAAAATTTAAGAGAAGAGTTTGACACACTTTGTTGTCACACAGTATGTGTGTGACAAAAATTCAGAATAAAAACAGACTTGTCTATCCAACCAAAGGTCGTGCCTATTCTAGTCTCCCACAAAGCTCATTCATTATTTCACTAAGATCAAGTTCTTTTAAACAAGAATTTATTATCAGAATGAGTTAGCAAGAGGAAGATAAAGGAGCAGAGAGCAGGAAATGCAGTTTTGGGGATTTGATTAAGAGAATTTTGAATTTTTTTCTGGGCAGCATGCTTATGATGGTCTATGACCCCCTCTTTATAGAACTAGCTCTCCAATTTACAGTGCTATGAACTCAGTTCAGGAGGAGCTTATGATTTTATTTGTTGATTCTGACAACAACCCAATTTTCTGATTAAGGAGATTGATATAATTTAGAATTCTAAATGTCTGATCCCTCCTATCAAATGACACATTTCAACAGTTGAAAAAAGTTAGGGATTACTTTTTAAAGACAGAGTCTATCTCTGTAGCCAAGGCTGGCATAGAATTTGTCATCCTCCTGCTTCTGTCACGATAGTAGCTGGGTAGTTAGCCAAATTCACACTTTTCCAAGTGTTTCTGTTCACTGCAGTGTTTTACTTAGAAGGAACTTAGAGATGTGCTCAGTGATACTATGTTCTGACCATACACTTTCTACTTTCAGAACAATCGTCTTCAAAAAGCTCTCTCTAAGAGAGGTGCTGGCGGCTTATGCCTATATTCTTATTCCTCAGAAGACTGACATTCAGAGGACCACCATTGAAAGCCAGACCAGGAAGAAAAATCCATGAGGTCTTATCTCCAAAAATAACCAGCAAAAAAGCAAGTATGGCTCAAGTGGTAGAATGCCAGGGAAGCAAGTAAGCTGAGCAAGTGCAAGGCTTTGAGTTCAAGCATTGCATAAAAAAGAAAAACAAAACAGAACTCTCCTCATTGTTTGAAGCTAAATAAATAAATAGATAGATAAATAAATAGTCTCCATTAAAAATAGAAAGGTTAAGGGTAAATCTTGTGGAAAGAGTCAAGAGTCCTAACCAAAGGGATTCATGAGGACAATTTTTCTTGTGTCAGAGCTAAAGATCTTCCCAGATCTAGGTGGTTTTGACCAAGTTCCTATCATGGATTAGCCTTATTGAAACTAAAAGCACTATATATGGAAGCTTTGGTAGAAAGTGATTAATTGTGGTGATAAATTCAAGAGGCTATCCTGTAATAAGGAAATAATTTTTGTGATCCTACGTCAAAGTCAGCTACTGGAAAATATTGCTGCCAGCCACATTATCTCAAAGATGACATACACTTTCCCATTTGTCCCTGACATTTACTGTGAGCTCTTCAAAAAACATTTTCCTTTCAGTTGATTAGACTAAGAAAACATTTAGTCTAATGAGGCAGAGAACCATAAATATTTGAGTCCCAACTCTTTTAGATGTTATATGAAATATGACATAAAACACATGAGCTTTTGCCACTTAAATAGGAAGCTGAAACAAAAGGTTTCTCGTCTAAATTAAAGTAGAAACGTTTAAGGCTAATTAAGAAAGAGCTATTTTTTAATTCAAATATGTTGCTGTGATTTAAATAAGAAGTGTTAGAAATCAGAGCCAATAAACCTGTAAGCTAAAGTGTAGGCAAGGAAAACTGGCAAGATGGAGACACATTTACCTCATCTTAATAGGAGCCAAGTGTAGTGATATGTCATTGTTAGGGGCACTTGGCTATTCTAGGTTACTGAAAAACACATTTTCTAAGTTAGTTAGGAAATATATCTCATTTACTTTAGCTCATGAAATATACTTTCCAAAGCCTTCTGTTTTGTTGCCTGTAATCCCATGCTACTCCCAAATCTTGATGATGGCTTCTCAGATGTATCTATTTCCTACATAGAGGATCCAAGGATAGATAACAGGGTGGAGAATATAATTTAATGAGCTGCCTTTCTGGTTTACACAATGGCCTCCAAGGTGTCATAGTGAGGAAATAATTTTCCAGGATGAAGCATTTCCAAAGTGGTTGACAATGTTGAGCCTATGCTGCTGGTTAAATGAGCACTCTCAAAAGGCAATATTAACATGGGAAACACTAACACCCACTAACACCAACACAGATCCAATATTGTGTAACATAGACTCAATATTTCTTCTGAAGTATATGAAATTTTCTAACTTTAGTTATTTGTATTCTAATATTAGTAGGTAGGAAAGAATGTCAGATGAGAATGCTAAATGGGAAATAAATACCAAGGATGAGAAAGAAAAGGGGAAAACATTGAATGTAGCTGTAATTCCTGGTCTTTGGTGATTCCAGATGCTGCCTTTGTCAACTGCCGTATGTGAGATGAGTGGTCCTCAACTTTGGCTGCACATTAGAGACACCTACAAAGCCGTCAAAAATCCCCATAGCCAAACCATACCCTACACTAATCACACTGAATTGTGAGCATGGGATCTAGGCATCAGCACGTCTTAAAACTCGCCAGGTTATTCCAATATGTACCTAAGGTTAGAAAACATTGGATTAACTGTGCTACAAGGTCATTGATTTCAGACATCTGTCCACCTGCACTGTCCCCTTCCTTTGTCCCATGATGTTTTTCATTCAGCCTAGTGCTCACATGAAGACAGCTGAGCTGTTCTCATGGTTCACACTGTGATAAATGGAAAGATACTTTCTGTATAGGGAGTAAATACGTTGTATGGGTTAGCAAACTATGGCTTATGGAATAAATTTGGCCACCAAATATTTCTGTATGGCTAGTAAGTTAGAGTAGTTTTGGATTTTTTAATAATTGAAAAAAGAATAATGTTCTGTAATATGAACATTAGATGTAATCCAAATTTCAATGTATAGAAATAAAACATTTTTGGAACATAGGAATGCTTATTCATTTATGTATTCTTCCAATTTCATGCTCCAACACGACAACTGAGAAAGAAAGCATGTGGACAATTTTTAAAGTCTGGTAAGAAGTTTTCTATGAGCATTACAGTACTTTATCTAATAATCAAGACAAAGCAGAGTTAACTTTGAGGATCTGGTCAAGCTTGAATATTCCCACCTCGTTCTCTTCCCATGGCCACTGAGAGGATGCTGCAAAGATGGCAGTGGAAATTGCATTCAGGACAAAATTAATTTTACTTTGCATGAAACAAAACAGATGCATCATTTAATAACTCACTTTCCACAAATAATATATATGAGGAAAGGTATAAAAATACCATATTTCCAGGAGAGAACGACAGCTCTGCATGGTTTCTAATGGTTCCTTGTCACTTCCAGCAATTCATCCTCTGGCCAGGGAGATAGAGGTGTACATATGACTTGGATTTTGTTTAACCTTTCACTCATATTGTAGAGTAGTTAACTAAAACACAGAACTCCTTGCTAAATTTGAATTTTAGATAATCAAAAAATTTTAAAGGGGCTGGGAAAGTGGCTCAGTGATAGAGTGCTTGCCTTGCATGCATGAGGCCCTGGGTTCAATTCCTCAGCACCACATAAGCAAAAAGAAAAAAGCCGGAAGTGGCACTGTGGCTCAAGTGGTAGAGTGCTAGCCTTGATCTGAAGAGCTGAGGGACAGCACCTAGGCCCAGAGTTCAGGCCCCACAACTGGACCTCTCCCCCAAAATGTTAAGAATTAGGATGTTCCAAATAGATGAAAAAAATATATTTAAAAGTTGTGGAAGTGGTGCTGTGGCTCAAGTGGTAGAGCGCTCACCTTGAGCTGAAGAGCACAGGGACAGCACCCAGGCCCAGAGTTTAAGCCCCACGACCGACAAAAAAAAACAATCTTAAAAATTGTATATTTCAAATTCAAATTTACCTGGGTATTCCGTATCTTATTAAGTTTAGAAATCCCACCTGAGGTTATCTATAGTCAATGTCTATCTGGTATGAGTTTGCAATGGCTCAGCTCCATCAAATGGACAAAGCTCGGGGACATAGTTCAAGCTCCAGAGTCCTTTGTGAGATTAGGCTAGATCCTTAGACTCAGATTGCACTTGAGATACTACCATTACTTAGATCCATTACTCAGATACTCTTCTCTATTCTACCAATCCTAGGACCTTATGTTTTTCTCCTGAAGTAATTTCATTAATAAATGACTTGCTTTTGAATCTTGGTCTGATAGAGAACTCACAAATCATAGTACAGCAACTACTCAGCACAACTTAGAAGGGATTCAGAATCACTCCCTTGAATAGCATTGTGTTTATTAACCATAGTCTACATTACAATCTTAAAAAAAAAACTCTTCAGTCTAATTTGTTTAGTTCCTAGCAACCAGTGAGTGAATAGCCCTTTGCCATTCAGTTTTCAGAGCTGAAGAGACTGCTAAGCGTTCCCTAACCCTGCTTTCAAATTACTGGAAAAAGATGAATCAATTAGACATCTAATAAATTATCGTTTCCACTTTGATATGATATGAATTTTTAAAAGAAATGGCTAAGCCTAGATGCTTAGCCATTAACAGACCAAAGAGGAGGATATCACTATCTCTTTGGATGATAGGAGTTAAGAAAAGGTAGGAGCTACACTTTAATGGCTCAAGTCTGTAATCCTACCTACTTAGGAGGCTGAGACTTGAAGATCAAGGTTCAAAACCAGCCCAGGCAGGAAAGCCCATGAGACTCTTATCTCCAGTTAAACACCAAAAAAGCCAGAAGTAGAACTATGGTTCAAATGGTACAGCACTAGCCTTGAGCACAAAAGCTCAGGGACAGAGCCCAGGCCCAGAGTTCAAACCCCAGGACTAGTAAAAAAAAAATAAAAAAGATAAAAACATAGGCCCTGAGTTCAAGTCCCAGAACTGGAACCAAAAAAAAAAAAAGAATAAAAAAAAGACAAGCAGCTTTCTGTCCCAACTTTCTAAGGAATCTTTTAGGAATAATGGAACATATCTAGTCATTATCATTGTGATTAAACACATGTCCCGGTAATGTACTATGTGATTTTTTTGTTTCTTTTATATGTTCTTCCCCCATGGTATAACTCCTGTCATCACTATATTTGATTCCAGTGCCCTGAATCTTGTATATACATTTTTCTAATTTGGGGAGGGGAAAGGAAATAACGAAGTGCTGAAACAATAAACTTGACAGCTTCCCCGGGGGTGGGAGGTGGGAAGGAGTTGGAGAGGTGGGGAGAGAAGGGGTAGTAGGGGAAAACAAAGGAGGGGTAAAAATGCTCCATAGAAAATGTACTCATTACCTTACTCATGTAGCTGTAGCCCCTTTTTCTGTACAGTATCTTTACAATAAAAATATTAAAAAAATATGTCCCGGGAAAGGGACACTTTGCTCTACTTATCTCCTGAGTATCTTTAGTGTTGGTCTCAAGGGGAAAACACTGTTCTTGACAGGCTAAAGCCAAGGCAAACTGATCACTATCCCATTTCAGGGATTCACAATTCAAACAATAAACAATTTCAGGACTTTCTCCCAGTTCACAGTAAGAACGAGAAAGCTCTGTGTCAAAACATCAGTGTTTGGAGAAACTACATATACATATGAATTTACAGCTTTCAGGTTATTTATGTAATACAGTTGGCAAGGCACAGGGAGTACATCCAATTAGACAAATTCTAGAATAACAGTACAAGTACTACGATATTGGCACTATGTCTCTGGTTCTTACTGAATAACTGTTAGACAAATAACTTAAAGGGCATGATCTAATTTTGTTAAATAGGCTTGGAGTCTTTGCTTCTTTGTTAAACAACTCTATTTCCTCTTTTCTAAATTGTCCCTCTTAAATGCCAGCCAAGATGGCTCAGAGTCCCCAAGAGCAACACAAACTGAGCTATGTATCACTTCTAAATAATTTTTTTTATCAATGTTATCTTAGAGTCAGGGGTCTAACAATTAAAAATGAGATTTTTAAAGAAAGTGTTCTGGGATATAACACAGAAGAGAAGCAAACCAAGATCAGTTCAAGGACAGACAACCATTATATGATTTTTTATTGTGAAATTTTTATCAGTAGTCTTGGAACTTGGGGAAATATTCATACATTCCTTGATAGTGGATAATAACTGATTTCTTTTTAAATTTATTTTTTCTGAATAGTTTTACAAAAAGTAATAGTGGCTTGCAGGAGTGATGTACAAAATAAAAAAGTAGGTATGGAGAATCACCATGGGGGAAAATAACTCAATAGTTAAAAGAGTGAACCTTCTGGGGAAGTGTTCTGGTCATTAGTCTAAAATATATTATAATGTGTGGGTTCAATCTCCAGCATCATGGGAGAAAAAGGATTAGAAAGATCACAAGATTACAAGGAGAATTCAATTCTGCTTGTAGAACCTAAGGAAAAAAGAAAAAGAAAAAAAGTCTGGCAGATTTAGTGCCTGAACTAGTATATTACTGCAGCTCCAAGCAAACAAAGGAGTTAACGTTTGGACACACCAACGAACCATGAGCGTAGATCTTTTAGGTCTCATCTCTAGCTTTGATACATGAATCATGAAAATAAGCTTTGACTTTAAGAAAATGAAATCTGATCAGAAGTGACTATGCTCCTAGATTTCATTGCTATTTGTCCTCACTTTTCTGACAAGAGATAGCTTTGTGCATAGGATATTTTCACTTGTTCCCTCTGAGAATAAGTTAGAGGAGGTAGAACTAGAAGAAAATGGAACTTATGGAAAATACTATGTCAACTCAAGTGATGCAATTATTAATGTTTTTGAAAGCTGCAAAAATTAATATGAAACCTAGAGGCTTATTTTTCAGATGCTGTAATAGAGGAAGATCATATCCATAGTCATGCATATATAAGTACATGTATTTGCATAGATATGTATATATGCACACATACAGAACATGATACTATTTGAGGGAACAACAGGGAGGTAGGATAGGGAAAGAGAAAATGGAGGGTGAATAGTGAAGAAATATATTGTGCCTATGTATAAAAAAATAGGACAGAGGGGATGGGGAAAGAGAACACGAGATATATCCATATTCATAATACTATGGTGAAAACCTCTGGTAAAATTAAAATACACTAAAAATAAATGAATGAGATAAAAGTAAAACAGGCTCTGTTGGGGAAGGGCAAGTACCAGTTGTAAGGAAAAGGGTGAAAGAAGAACTATGAGTTGAGCACCAGTGGTTTAAACCTATAATCCTAACTACTCAGGAGGCTGAGATCTGAGGATCATGGTTCAAAGCCAGCCTATGCAGGAAAGTCTGTGAGACTCTTATCTCCAATTAGCCACCACAAACTTGGGAGTGGAGCTGTGGCTTGTGTGGTAGAATGTTAGTCTTGAGCAAAAGAACTCAGGGATAGTGTTCCAGCCTCAAGTTCAAGCCCCAGGATTGGTACAAAAAGTAGAACAATAAAAACTGTTGAAATTGTTCTAAGAAGAGTGGGAGATGGAAAAAGAAGTGATGGGGAAATGTTTGATTCGGGTGCATTATATGGACGCATGCAACTGCCTCAACAAAATCCTCCGTGTACAATGCTAATAAAATATTCTTAGTAACACAAGAAATTAATGAAGGAATATATCTGACCATTGAACTACATCCTTTAGTCCCCAAACACAAATCTGCATCCCTGCAGGCGACACAATGGTTCCAATAGATATAATCTAGAAGGAAGGTAAGTGCTTTCCATTTCAACTAAAAATTATCTTCCTGTCTTTTGGTATTATGTGTTAGGTCTACAAGCAGCAATTCTTTACAGACACTTAGAAGCCCTACTTGGATATTTACAAACCGAATCCTCTGGTGGTTCCCATTGTCCGTTCTGTGTTTCTCTTACCTGTCTGAACCGGGGGCTGACTTTGATCCCCGAAAAGTTTGACTGTCTAAATCCAAGCTGTAACTCCGACCACTTTCAGTTTTTGGAGTTGTGATTTCTCCTCTAGTTGCTGATCGGAACTTGCTAAGAAGAAATCTGAAAGCATATTAACATTTAAAGGTAAGATACAAAGAAAGCATGGAAATACCACTTTAAGGACACAATTCTAGAGCTGGCCATAAGTGGCTCATGCCTATAATCCTAGCTACTTAGGAGGCTGAGATCTGAGAACTGAGGTTAACAGCCAGCTGGAGCAGGAAAATCTCTAATCTAAAATCTTCAATTAACCATAGAAACAAAGCCAGAAGTAGAACAGTGGCTCAAGTAGTATAGCATCTGCCTTGAAGGAAGAAAGCTAATAAATAGCATCTAGGCCTTGAGTTCAAGCTCTGGTACCAGCATACACACACACACACACACACACACACACACACACACACACACACACACACACACACAACCAAAATCCACAATTTGAAACTACTACTACTACTACTACTACTACTACACACACACACACACACACACACACACACACACACACCCAAAATCCACAATTTGAAACTACTACAAGATGGAGTAGGAGAAATATTAGAACTTATCAGCATAGGTGGGAACTTTCAGAAGAGAGTCCCAGGGGCACAGCAAATAGGAAACTTAACAAATAGGATTACATCAAACTAAAACGTTTATGAACAGCAAAGGACATAGTTACTAAACTAGAAAGACAACAAACAGATTGGGAGAATATCTTTACCAGATATACATCTGACAAGGAACTCAAGAGACTACCACATCAATTAATATCCTGATCAATAAATGGGCAAAGAAGCTAAGTAGAGACATCTCAGAAGAAGAACGATCAATAAAAATATGAGGAACAGTTCCACATCCCTAGCCATAAGGGAAATGTAAATCAAACAACACTGAGATTCCATCTGAACCCAGTTAGACTGGCCAACATCAAGAATTTGAACAACAACAAATGCTAGAGGGAATGTTGGGGGCGGGTGGGGAAAGAAATCCTATTTTTTTGGTAGGAATGTAAATTAGTACAACCACTCTGGAAGGCAGTTTGGAGATTCCTAACAAAACTAAACATAGACCGACTCTATGATCTAGCCATACCACTCTTGGGCATTTACCTAGAGCACTACAAGTCAGGATATGGTAAAGACACTTGCACATCCATGTTCATTGCTACACTATTCACAATAGCTAAGTTATGGAAACATCCCAGATATATTACAATGAATGCGTGGATCAAGAAAATGTGGTACATACACACAATGGAATTTTACTCATCCATTACAAAGAATAACATTATGTCATTTGCAGGGAAATGGATGGACTTAGAACAAATCATGTTAAGTGAAGTAAGCCAGGCTCAGAGAGACAAACAGCACGTTTTATTCTTATATTTGGAAGCTAGATCTAAACTACAACTGTCCATCATAACATATACAAGGCAAAATGCAATTGCACACAAACAAATTGACTAGAGGAGGGTATATTTAGTGGGAAAATTCAAAAGCTTAATTCTTCTGAACAACTAATGTACTGTTTATCAAAACACAGAAAGTGGAAACATGTTTTTTGGGGGGTGGACAAAGGAAAGGAATAGAAATGGAAGGAGGAAGGATGATCAGATATAGTCATTATATTCAAAGTACATTATCTAAACAATGAACTATGCAACTTGAGGATAGGGATGGGAGGGGAAAATGGGGGAGAATGAAGGAAAGGTTGTCATTGACCAAGAAGCATTATATTTATAACTTATGGGATTATAATCCCTTTGTACAACTACTTAATAATAATAATAGCCTCTCACAATTTTAATGACATTCTAACTCACTGATAGAGAGCATGTTTAGCACTCACAATGCCTTAATGTTTGATCCCTGGCACTGGAACTCAATGAAGAAGTTCAATTTTTAGTATTTACAGAAAGAAATGATTCTTTGACTCAGGAGCACTGGGATTGAGGGGTTCTGGGTAGTTCTCAGTGACAGTGTCAAGGGTGGTAATGGGGGAGGTTACAAAATTTCCCAGGGCTATGTGACTTTCTGGTAAGCAAGGTCTGTGTCCTTGCTTAGCAAAGACCACCTACTTTGGGAACTCACCACTTCTACCTGAGGAAGAAGAAGTATCTCTTGGGCTGGGTGTATTTGAAGGGATGCTGTGAATGGGGAGCTTGCACTTATCTTGCTCAGCGAGGGAATAATGCTCTGGGATGAACTGAGTAGCAGCTTGTTATAGTGTAGCTCTATGTAAACAGAAATTGTCTTTCTCATTCACTACCACTTTCTGGGTCCTAGAATAATATACCAGAACCCAATTAATTCTTGTGGAATGAATGACTGAACTTTTATAATGAAAATCCTTTCTATATCTTCCATGACATTTCTCACTGTGGTAATGAAGCAGAGTGCCTTGTGTCAGATGAAATCTAATTACATTCCCATCTCCTAACTTATTAGTGTGTTTTAACTGTTTTTTTAAACAGTCTCTTTATGTATCCTAGGCTGGCTTAGAACTCTCTAATAAAGCCCTGATCTCATGATAGTTGTATACTGGTCTCCAAAGTGCTGGGATTATAGGCCTGCATCTCCACATCCATTTCACTATATTTTTTTTAACTTAAACAATAGGACATGTTTTAAAACTATTTTAATATTTTGGTAATTATCTGTAAGTAGCTGTACAAATGGGACTCAAACAACAGCTTCTAAGGAATCTAAATTCAAGGATACTGAGTCACCCAAGCAAGGCTGTTTCCAAGTACACTTTAATAATAATACAACCTCAAAGCTGTATTCTTTTGGGGATAACATTGGAAGAGACCAGTTCATTTGTTTTGTGGGCAGCCAATTTTCTAGACAAAAAAATATAAAAGCTAGATTCCAAAGGTACTGGGAGAATCTTAATAGAATCTGTTAAGTTGTATTTACTTCAAAGAAGAATGTCATTGCCAAAGTGTCAGAAGCTTCATTCTACTGGAAAATTACATTTTTGGTGAGAATGGCACTTAACATAATGTCAGCCTGTGCTGCACTGAGAACCTCGTGTCCTCATCCCTGCATTTCCACTTAAGGTAACTCCTCTTCAGGGAGACAACTCTTTCTCTCTTTAGACATCCTGAATCCCATCAACCTCCTCGTGCCCTACTTACCTTCTGATGGTGTTCTTGCTGATTCCTATCACCCCAAACATTTATCAGCTAGCTATTCATTTAATATTTAGTTATTTGTTACCTCATGACATCTCTTGTGATAAACACCCTGCCATATTTACAGAAGCTTTCCATAGCTATATCCCTTGAAGACTGAAAACTATAAATGCCAGTTTTAGGTTCCAGGATGGCTTAGCTCAGTTCTATGATGGTTTGAAGGGTTCAGAATTTGTACAATGCATTGCATTTGTTATTAGTTATTGTCTTCTAACTCCATGGTTTCCTTAGCCCAGTAGCCTACTCTATGATACCTGGGTTGGTCTCTGCAAATGATAGATCCTATTTGCATTTGTGGGCTCTGAGATACTTATTAAGCTACTACTTATCAGTCAGCTACTTATCAAGAGCCATGGATTTTTTTAAAAGAGTTGTTTTAAAGTCATCAATTGCACTATAACTGATGCTGTTAACACAAAAGTAAATGAGCCACCAGTCTAACACTGAAAGAACTCACAATTAAATATGTGTATTAGTTAGAGGGAAAGGGAGGTCAGAGTCTAAAATGATGAGAGATTCACAAACACAAGATGATATTGTGAGGATTCTGAGGAAAAATCAATGGATTTCAAGTGATAGGAAGATTAATATCTAGGATAAGATACTTAGGAGTCTCTAACTCATCCTTCATTCATATCTGTTAATTAATGAAGAAGTTGTTAGTCATAAGAGCTTGAGTTACATGACATTTAGAGTTCATTCCCACCCACAGTTCAGGATTCTAAAAAAAAGTCCAGACTTCTTTCAGAGCCTAGTTAAGGCACAGGCGTTGTCAGAATTTCATGTAGGCTTCTGCTGAGAGAATGACACACTACTTTGAAAAAGGCATAATATGAACTGGTACCTATTAGAATCTTACTGCCTTGGCCACAAAACTTGGCCAAGAGCTGTATCAGTAACAGAGTGCAAAGTCTCTGAAGTGCTGTGAAGAAGCAATTTGTGTTTTGAATCTTCTCTGCATTTTGGGGAATACTCTTCTGCCTTGATGGGACATTCTTGCCCTCAGTTTCTAGTGATTCTTTCCATCTTGGTCTCCTTTATATCATGTTCCATTACTATGCTTAGTACGTTATACATATATTTGCTTTCTGAATTAAGTTGAGGTGGTCAAATGTGATTATTTTTTCCTGGGTTTTAGATAGGTGATATAACACTTAAGCTTAAGAGTACATGGATGAAGCCCAGTGCCAGTGGCGTATGCCTGTAATCCTAACTAATCCAGAGGCTGGGATTTAAGAATCAAGGTTTGGCTGGATGCTGGTTGCTCACACCTGTAATCCTACTCAGAAGGCTGAGATCCAAGGATTGCAACTGAAAGCAGCCTAGGCAGAAAAGTCTGTGAGACTCTTATTGCCAATAAACTACTTCAAAAAAGCTGGAAGTAGCAGTGTGGCTCAAGTGGTAGAGCACTGGACTCGAGCAAAAGAAGCTCAGGGACAGTTTGCAGGCCCTGAGTTGAAGCCCTAGGTCTAGCATGTGCACATGTGTACATGTGTGCATGCACACACACAAACACACATACACACACACACACACATAAACACAGACACACACAATCATGGTTTGAAAACATCCTGGGCAGTAAACTCTGTTAGACTCTTATTTCCAAGTAACCACCAAAAAGTTGGAAGTGACACCAGACTTTAAATACCAAGGAATATTTATTTCAGAGGTTTCTGGAATAAAGATTAATAATTCCCCTGCACAAAATGTGTCTTACCCCTTTCTCTTTGGCCCATCATGGCTGGCCTTCTGTCCAATAGATGAAGTGTCAGACTTTTCTGCATTCTGTCGGGCTTGCTCTTGGCTTTGTATTTCCTCTGCTCCTCATTAAAATAGAAGACAAATTTTCATACAAATCAATCAGAAACAAAGCAATTTTCTATTTTGTCTTCATTTTCCTGGATTACAATGATAATTAGCAATGATATTCCCATCCCATCTATTTCAGGTACTGTTATATCTAATTTGTTGAATGTTCTCCAAATAATTAAAGAAGATCAGTGTAATTTCCAGGTGAGACTGCAATAGAGGAACAAATATATCATCCCTCTACATATTCCATGTTTTAGAGAACTCCAAATCTCTAAAGACTGAGATTAAATGTAAGATTATTGTTCTTCTGATTTGAGGTTTTGAGACAAACTCTCACAATGTAGCTCTGGCTGATAGAAAAGCAATGTACAAGACTAACATTGCCTTTGAACATTAGATCCTTCTGCCTCGATCTCCTGTATGATAAGATTGCAGATGTGTATCACTATGTGCAGCATGAGATTATAGAAATGATAACGTTGATTTCTGAGTACATAAACCAGACTTCTTGGGAGAATAAGCATTTGTGCACATATCTTGTGATTTGAGGGACAGTTCACACTGGAGAGTACTGAAGTTTGGGTGGAGGAAGTGGCCACCACTGACTGTATTATTATAACTCTATTCTTCCATCTGGGGCATCAGATTTGATGTTACCCATCTGCAAAGAGCCTTACTTGTGAGTACTACATCTAGAAGCAGAATGAGAATCAGTTTTAAGACTCTCAGATCTACTTGCCAGATTCTGAGAAACAAGGCCACTGATTGGTCTATGAAAGACAGAATAGTCTAGACACAGGCCAAATGATGTCTCCTCTGTCTTTCTTACATTCTGCATAAGAAAGTTACTCCCAAACACAAGTTTCATTCCACATTGACCAATTAAATTGCACTTTATGTTCACTGAAAAGCATTCTTAAGCTGGATGTTATATTTGGTGCCAGAATAATCCTTCATTGACCAATGTTGTCCTATGAATTTTAGGTGATTAAGCATTTCTGACATGGAATCAACCTAGTCATTGAATTTCCAAAACTCCTAATTCACAGATAGGGATGCATTTGCACAATGCCAATGCTTGGTTGAGAAACAAAGATAAGAAAAAGTGACACTTAAAAGAACTTTGAAATAAAACATCTTGAAAACTCAAGAACTGCTTGTATATTAATTGTACAAAGGAGTTTGTGACATCTTTGTATACGCATACAAGATACAAGATATCACTATCAAATTCTCCCCTCTATTACTCTCCCTTATCCTACTTCCTCTTTTTGAAACAACTTCAACAAGGTATACTGTTCTATTGTCATATGTGTGCAGAGTACTTCAATTATAGTACCTCTTCTACAACATCTCCTTTCATCCTCCCCTCTTCTAGAGGTGCCTACCCCCCAAAGAGAACTACTTTACATTCCTTTCACTCATTTTAAGGACTTGATTCTGCTTATTTAGTAAAATATTAGAAATAAATTCAGGAAAAGACTTATCTGTGATGAAGATAAATGATTTCTTTGAAAATCTCAGTGTCAGATATATGAAAAATGAATACGACAATTTTTACTGACCAGTCTTAATTTGTGTGAAGTACGGATTTAGATATCATGCTACTGAATTGTGGGAAGATATAAAGGGATTAGAAAGTCCAACTGTGCTCATTTGGTAAAAAAAAAATACATCAGGAAGTTATTTATCCCACTAAAGTGAAGATGAAAGTTTTGAACCCAAATAATTATAGCAGTTACCTGGGCTTCTTCTTAAGATGGACTGTCGGACAACATCAGTGCCCAGAACATTGACTTGCTTGAAACGCTTTGCCTTTTCTTCAAAAAACCATTCTCCAGTTATAATTCTTAGCTGCCTACTCATGGGAAAAGGAGGCCATATTAAAATTCAGTTATGTGTATAATTAACAAGAAATAACCAATTGTTTAAAGAATTGACCTCAAGCTCTGGAGAGCATTTTATGATCATAGTGGCCACTACTGTATTAATTAAACCCACTATGTAATATCTCTATATACTTGGAAATTACTCTTCATACTTTATTTTTACCAAGATAACCACCTTAATAAAAATCATTATCCCATTTTAGAGACGAGGAAATTGAGCATGTAAGAAAATGTCTCATATCACACAGCTGGTAAGTAGTAAAGTCAGAATCCCATCTTTAATAGTTGAACCTAAGGCTTGTTTTTAACCACTATCTTTGTGGTCAAAAGATCAGTCAGAACAATGAAATGAGATTTCTGAATATCACAGAGGCCATAATTGGACTCTATTTTAGAAAGATTCCTTGATGTGATATGAGCACTGGACTAGTGGAGAATGGGGCAAAGAGATACCCTGGCCATTACAATGTTCCAGAAGAAAGGAAATACTAGGGCAATAATAATACTAATACAGAGAAGGAGACAAATTCAAACTGCAGGTGATAGAAGTACCTGACCTGGATTTTGTAATTGAATATTAAAGAAGGGAAAGGATCCTCGCCGTCTTTTAACCACAGCCTGCAATCATTATATTAAATCATATCCTATTCCCTTTCTGAAATCTCTATAATTACTCTTCTTTATTTGCACTTCTATGACCTATAACAATTTTAACTTTATTTTAGAGTTACTTCTGGCCAGATTTTCTCATGTGTACTGGGCTATAAGTTCCCTGAGAGCTGTTCTCTATCTTATTCATTTTTCTCCAAGAACCTATGAGTCTCTTGTGCTTTCAGATAAGTTTAAATTTTTTAATTATAATTTTAACATGTATTAATTATATAATTGGTGTATTCACAGTAGCATTTTCTTTTTATTGTGAAAATACTGTACAAAAGGGTTACAATTACATGGGCAAGGGCCATGCTAATCTTCTCTGTATCGTTCCAATTTTAGTATATGTGCTGCTGAAGCAAACACTCACAGTATTATTTTCATGCATGTATATATAATGCATTGATTGTGTCAGTCCATTCTTCAAGTAATCTTTTTAAATGAATGATTACTCCTACATTAGTTAAGTTATCCTTCTTTTCATATCTTGACAATCTTGTTACTATCACGAACATGAGGGCAGGGACTTTACTGTGTTGTTTGCCATCTGTAGGAATAGTACTTATCACTATACTCAGCAAATATTTGTGGAACAACTTAGGGTACCTGGAGTTTAACCTGGAGTTAGTTGCTTGCTGCTTAGCTTGCAGGTTTACCACGAAGATGTTAACAACAATGAAAGTCATTCAGTAGTTGAAACATACTTCTAACTAAATAGCATTTCAATGGTGAATAGGTCTGTGTAACTGTGGTAAAGAGTTAATGTTAGACTGTAGTGGGAAATGAGATTGGAAGATTGGATTGGGTTATGTAATGAAAATCTTTGAATGCCATTCTCAGGAAGTGAAAAGTCATTTTGGAGGCAACAGAGAACTTACTCTAAAGTTCTGATTGGATGATATAATCTTTGGAGGAATATATGGAAAAGGTAAAAGCAGGAACAAGAAGTCCAATTAAGATGTTACTGAAGTAGAAAGGATAGGAAATGATGAAGAGATAAATCAGGTTTTCACTGTGATGAGGGATTAAAAAAAGTTACTGCTACTTGAGTCACTAAGTATCAGGAATAGCAAGGACTTTTACTAAGTTTGTAATGGTGTCTGAAGAAAAGCAATTAAAAATCAAATAAAAGATTTCTAGTATTTCCAGAGTATTATATCCACAAGATTTTGGCAACTGATTATTCTAATAAATTAACAAGTGGTTCTTCAAAATAAAAAATTACAACAGAAAAGTATGTCAACCTTGTTTCAAACGGTAATTGAAAGTTTGTTTCTTAATATAATAGACAAAAGCAAGTGATATATGAAACACAGTTTCAACTAATGGGAAAGAGAATAAAAAAACTAACCTTTGAGAAAGCATAAAGAAAGATAAGGGCTAGCTATGTCATTTGCCGGATTGGGAGAAGATCTTTACTAGCCATACAACGGACAAGGGTCTCATATCTAAAATATACTTGGAACTCAAAAAATTAAACCACCCAACAACAAATCCTCAAAGAAACAACTGCCCAATAAGTAAGTGGGCAAAAGACTTAAAGAGAAGCTTGTCTGAAGAAGAAAGAAGGATGACCAATAGACACATGAAGAAATGTTCAACATCCCTAGCCATAAAAGAAATGCAAATCAAAACAACATTGAGATATCACCTCACTCCAGTTAGAACGGCAAAAATCAAGAACTCTAACAACAACAGATGCTGGAGGGGATGTGGACAGAAAGGAACCTTACTTCATTGTTGGTGGGAATGTAACTTGTTCAACCACTTTGGAAAGCAGTATGGAGGTTCCTCAAAAGACTTCATATAGAACTCCCCTATGACCCAGCAATCCCACTTTTGGGCATTTACCCTAATGTTTACAAAAAAGACCACACTAAAGCTACCAGCACAACTATGTTTATTGCAGCATTATTTACCATAGCTAAGATATGGAACCAACCCAGATGCCCCTCAATAGATGAATGGATCAAGAAAATGTGGTATATATACACAATGGAATTCTATGCCTCCATCAGAAAGAATGACATTGCCCCATTTGTTAGGAAATGGAAAGGCTTGGAAAAAATTATATTAAGTGAAGTAAGCCAGGCCCAAAGAAACATAGGTCCCATGGTTTCCCTTATTTGCAATATCTAGTATAGGTATGAGTCAAGCGGAAAAAGTCAGAGAATGTGATGTTAGGAAAACGAACCCTCAAATATGTATTTTAATGTTTTTGTTTCTTTCATGCATGTGTTTCTAACGCATTTATAAGATTATTTCTTGGTTGCTTTGTATGTCCCTCCCCCACAGTGTAACCCCCGCTTTCACTATATTTGATGTCAGTATAACATGTGGAGGAGATGGGGACAAACAAGTCGTTTAAGGATTCAGGTGGACCTGTTGCAACAATGAGAAGTACAAAATGTCATGTCAAAACCAGCTTTACAATGTAGGGAGGGGGAGGGGGGTATGATTGGGTGGGGGGGAAGGGGGAGGCTGGGAAGGGAGGTGAAGGGTAAACAAAGGAGGAGGCTGCAATGCTTGGTAAGAAATGTATGCATTATTCTGCCCATGTAATTGTAACCCCTCTGTACAGTATGTTCTCAAATAAAATAAAATAAAATTAAAAAAAAAAAGAAAGATAAGGGCATAGTACATACATCCCAGATTCACTCCCAAGTGACCAGATCACCTATTGAGAAGCATAGATGTTGGCTTTGCTCCATAACCACATAAATTATGTTATAGTATGTTCCATATCTATGATTTAACCTACCACACAAAAAGCTTGAATAGATTAAATTATTTTTGAGTACACATCCAGTAATCTATAGACTTCCAAGTCACCGTTTATGTTGGAAATGCAAGCGATAATTGTGGTAATCTAATTTCTAAAGATGCTCTCACAAAATTACTATCAATCAAACACAGATCTAGACACAGATATAATCAGATTGAACAGATAGAATTAAGGTACTAATTATCTGACATTAAAGCAGCAAGTTTATCCTGCCTTATTCAAATGGGTCCAAAGTAATCACATGAGCCTTTAAAAACAGAGGAAAGAAGGGTGAGACTAGACACTGCAGAAAATGAAGTCAGATTTCAAAAACATACTTGATATGCTCAGAAGGCTCTGAGATGTAGAGATCTAGAGACAAGGAGCAGAGTCAGAAGTTTCTACAAGTTAAAGGCAACTCTAAATTAAAACTAACAAGAAAGTGGAGACCTCATTTCTACATACATAAAGAACTGGATCATGTCTACAAGAATGAGTTTGGAAGTCAATTCTTTCCAACTCAAACAGCCAACACCTTGCTTTCAGCTTTGAAGAACCTGGAGTAGAGAAAAAAGTAAGCCAATCCAGATCTCTAAGCTATGGAATTATGAGATAATAATCTTGCATTGTTTTAAGTTGATAACTTTCAATAACTTGTTAAGATGACAATAGAAAATAAATATGATTAAACACAGAAGTGTGTTGGTCAACCAGAAAAGACTTCTGCGTGTTGTAAGAAGATAAATAAAGGAGATTTAGAAGTACAAGGAGGCACAGGTAGGAACATGCTCTATGGGCCAAAATCACTCCATTGTTATTTTGTACAACTCATATATTATTAATTCACCATTTAAAGTGATTTTAAAATGTCAAAATAGTATTTTATGACATATGAAAAATCACATGATGTTCAAACTTCAGTGTTCACAAGTGAAATTTTATTGGAAGATAGTCATGCTCCGTTGCTATTTGTTGTGTGTTGCAACCTATGTGTTGCAACCTCAAAGTTGAGCAGTTGGAACAGTAGACTACATGGCCAACAAAACCTAAAATATTCAGTATGGTATCTTATTTGTAAAGAAAGTTTGTTGACTTCTGCAATACAGAAGAGTTTACACAGAATAATACAAGATCAAGAGAAATAATAGAGCTCAGTGGCTAAAAGTCACCCGAAGTGGCATGCGTAGGTCTACATTATCATTATCATCATCACCATCATCACCATCATCATCATCATCATCATCATCATCATCATCATCATCATCATCATCATATGGGATGAGGTACATTTCAAGTCCACATGCCACAGAGAAATAGGCCTCGGTATCCCCTTACCTCAAGCACCTAGAACTGCCAACACTTAAGATTTTCCTAGAACTGTTAGAACGTGTGTGTGTGTGTGTGTGTGTGTGTGTGTGTGTGTGTGCAGTGTGTGCGCATGCACACCAGTCCTGGGGCTTGAACTCAGGGGCTATGCACTATCCATGAGCTTTTTCACTCAAGGCTAACACTCAACCACTTGAGCTGCAGCTCCACTTCTGGCTTTTTGGT